GGTTAAGAGCAAAACATATTTATTGAGAAAAAGAAAGCTTCTGCCTGAGAGTGAGACAGAAGGGGTCCCAAGTGGGTCGCCGTCTTCTACAATACTTACAGAGCTGCAAGTGTACTTACAGTACATTTGTCTTACACTCATTGACCATACCTGGGGAGTGGGTGAATGAATCTGAACTTTTCTTCCTTAATGTAGAGACAGGCCAAATGTATGGCAGGCAGAAGAGATGGTTGTTATTAGAAATTTGAACTCGCTGGGAGGGCACACACTTGTATGTCAGTACTCTGGAGGGTGAGGTAGGAGGATTGACTGTGTCTTTAGGATCAGCCTGAAGGCTTTAGAATACACCCCAAGATTGTCTCAAAAAATAGAAAAGTGATAATCCATACTCTTTCAAATAAGTTACAGAAGCATCTATTTGTGTAAGCAAATGAACGAGACTGAAGAGATGGGTTTAAACCTAGATGTGCCCCCCCCTTTTTTTTTATTTTTATTTTTTTATTTAAGAGGAAAAAGAGAAAAACACAAAACAAACCAAAGCGGCGTAAGGGTATGCCCCCCCTTTTTAAGAGAGAGTCTTTCTGTGTTGACCAGGCTGTCATGGAATTCACAGCAGTCCTCCTTCCTCACCCTCCCACATCCCAGATGTGCCCCGCCACACCCATTTGAACCTATACTTTATAGTTACATAAATATTATAGTGATTACTGCTTTGTGCCAGGGTAGTATTGCAATCTAATGCGAGTACCAAATGTAAACAGTAGAAGTAAGTAAGCTCTGAGATTCTTGAGTTATTTAAACTTTTGAAATTTTTTTTTATTTTAAAGAGAATAAAAGCAAACAAACCAGAATAAAGCCAATCAAAACAAAACAAAAAAACAAGGTAGTAGGAAATCAACAATTTAAGCTAACTTTTATGTAGGCCATTGCCAGAAAAATAGAGGATATTAACATAATTAAAAACTTACTTAGATAAGCATATATTTATTTCTTTGGTTGAAATGCTAATTGTACCATCTGTCCCTCATGAACTGTACTAACCCTTAGTTGATTTTGTGTTTTAGTCTTCATTTAAGAATCAACAATGCATTATTATAAGGTGAATTTGTTGTTAAATTTCCTTTTAAATCAAAATTTAACATTGTAAGCTGAGCACGATAATGCACACCTGTAATCCCAGCACTAGGGAGGCTAAGGCAGAAGGATCACCACAAGTTTGAGGCCAGCCTGTGCTACAAAAGGGGGTTCAAGGCAAGCCTAAACCAGATAGTGAAACCTTGCCTCAAAAAAGGGCCAGGGGGGCTGGGGATTTAGCTCAGCGGCATAAGCGCCTGCCTTGCAAGCAGGCAGTCCGTGAGTTCGATCCCTGGTACCGATAAAAAACGAAAAGGAAAAAAAAAAAAAAAAAGGGCCAGGAATTTAGCTCAGTGGCATAAGCACCTACCTTGCAAGCGTGCAGTCATGAGTTCGATCCCTGGTACCAAAAAAAAAAACCAAACAAATTTTAATGTTTTAAAATCACACAAACTTTTTAAGTTGTCATCATCCAGGAATTAGGATAATAAGATGATATCTGGAATATTATTACTAGATTTATGATATCAAGAAGAGCTCGGAAATCTTATAACTGTACCATGGAGATGCTCATTTTTGTCGTCCCAATGTATCCGTGATATGACGTCAGAAAATCTTAACAGTGCTTTGGATTGATAAAATACTGTAATTTTGATAAAATACTGTAATTTTGAAATCAACTTGTTTAGAAGTCTTTGCCTTATCACAGATGATACACGTTTATAAGTCTTTATTTTTCATAATGTTGTATCATCAAATTGAAAGATTTTCAGATAATTTAATATAACTTGCTCTTCTAGCTTGCATTGCTGTAGGGTTTGTGTGTGTGTTTGTTTTTGATGTGCCTTTTTATGTGCCCCAGAGCAGGTCTGTTTCGGGCAGGAGGAATATGGAGGAGAGATTGGAGTGAAGCACGTGACTTTTTCATCGTGCTCCTTCAGCACGCTCTAGTGCTGTGATGCTCTTTCATATGCTCCACACTGCAGGCTTTGGTATGCAGGTTTCTTAGGCTCTGTGCTAGAATATTTCAGGAAATGCGCCATGTCTCAATTTCTGAGAAGTATATCAGTGTACGTGATTGTAGTGCATCAGAGGAGAGCAGTCTGCTATAAGTAATCCATCCTCCCTTCCTCTGCTGGTTTCCATCATTACATTCTCTTGAGAAAGTAGCTGCTCCTTTGTGGCCATTGTGCTTGGTACCGGACACCCCACACACACACCACAGTGCTTTGGGTCCTCACAGTTCTTTGTCTGGAATCACATGTTGCCTGACACATGGCTCTCAGTGCCTCCTGCCCATAGCAGTCTTTTGCATGTGGCAATTTAGAATAAACCAATGTTACAATGAGTGGCTGAGGTAGGAGAAATCAGCCTAAAAATTTTAATGGCAGGTTCTTTTAATTTGTCCAAAAACTTCTCAATTTGATTATAATACAGTGGGAAAAAATGAAGTGCTAAAAATTTCTATCACTTGTTATAAAAAGAAGACCAAGACATCTTACAATGAAGCTGTCACATAGTGTTGGGGAGGAGCAGCAGGCACTCGGTGAGGATTGGAGCTCCTAGTGGTCCTGGGGCTTCCTCCTGTCTGTCACATGGAGCAGGAGCGCGCGGCCCACTTGAACAAGGCATCTCTCACTCCGTGTAGAATGTCAGCAGGCAGTGTCGGTGTTCTGGTGGAAACACATTTGGTGACGTGAACCTGTTGATCAGTTACTAAATCAAGCCCAAGATGCTGGGTGTCTGGTTCAGGCTGAGGGAAGAGAGGTTTCAGTCATCAGGAGATGACCTTCCCTCGTGTGCCTGGCCATGGGCTCAGTCCCTGGTACTGTGATCAGTCAGCCAACCGGTCAGTAATCATGTTTGCATAATCTTTAATCCTTTCAAGACCTTTACTCTGTTGAAACTCTTGAAGTTGTTGGTACATAGGATTGCAGAACAAAGGCTGACCCATTGCAGTTGACCCTACCTGCTCTTTAGCTGTGGATCTAAAACATAAGTGTATGCTCTGTCCAGGTCTCTGATTCCTAGAGGATCTTATCGTGAGTTCCTCTTCCTGTACACCTCTGTTACCACCTGCCAGGCTTCAGAAAACCTTCATCTTCTCTGACTTTTCTACTCTTGGCCATGTGTGGGAACAACATGGGATCTGATAGACTTTCCTGATCTGATTCTCTTACAGCAAAGACAAATCTAGGAGATTTTTATGTTCAACACACATGAAACATGTTAATATTGGCACTGCCAAACCCAAAACAAAAGGACCCAAATCCACAAATCCTGTGGTACAAATGAGTCCAGAACCAGAACTGTCCGATGGTCCTTCAGCTCCTGCTCCCGTGCCACTGACTTGCTGGGAGAGCACAGTGCTGCCCTGACTGCCTCGCACGGTCCATGCTGCTCAGAAAGGGGCAGGAGCAGAAAGCCACTCTTCCCGTTGGGCTGTGGATACCACAGTCACATTTCCAAGCCAGAATACTTCGTGGTGGCCCAGAGAAATAAGCCTGTTTTAAAATGTCTGGCAATTCTGGTTAACAAATAATTTAAATTACATTAAAATTTTTATGAGACAGGGTTTTTGTTGTGTTGCCTAGGCTTGCTTCAAACTCTTGGACTCAAGTGTGTTTCTTGCCTCACCTGTCCCAATAACTGGGACTACAGGTGCATACCACCATGTCCCAGTTACAAACTAACTGAATCTTATACTCATACACACACCCAACCGTGGGGATTGCACCCATGGCCTCTGCACTGAGCTACATTCCCAGCCCATCTTTTATTTCTTATTTTCTAAGTTGCTGAATTGCCCAAGCAAGGCTTGAGGTTGCCATCCTCCTGCCTCAGCTTCCCCAAGTTCTGGGTTTACAAGTATGTGTCACCAAGGCTAGCTGGCAAACTAAATTGTAAGCAGAAGGGTTCTTAGAAGAAATAATTCTTACCACAGAGTTCGTATATTATTTTTTCAGTTCTGGGATCCTGTTTTGACTAATGGATTTTGTTAAAAACTGTGTGTGTGTGTGTGTGTGTGTGTGTGTGTGTGTGTGTGTTAGTAGGGCTTGAACCCAGTGAATTCACACTGAGCTATGTCCCAAACCGTTTTGTGACAGTGTCTCATGACGTTGCCTACTCTGAATTGGGCATGGTGGCGCATTCCTGTAATCCCACCTGAGACAAGAGAATCATTTGCAAGTTCGAGACTGCCTTGGGCTACAAAGTGAGCCCAAGGCCAGCCGGAACTTCATGGTGATACCCTGTCTCAGAAAGACCAAAAAAATTAAAAAAAAAAAAAAACAGGTTGCCCACTCTGAGCTTGAACTTGGGACTCCTCCTGCATAAGCCTCCTAGAATGCTGGAGATTAAGGTATATGCTACCACACCCAGTGTAAAGGCATTTTTATAACTATATGTGTAATAATACTTTTTAAAGCAGGTGTAAAAATATATAATGAAAATGAAATAAAACTGAGTGTTCATGATGAAGCTAATAGGAAACAAATGGAAATATTTACTAGTTTATCTTAAAAAAGCAAAACTGGGCAAGTTTTATTTTCTTATATGTTTTTTGTAATTTCAGTGATAAATATAAATTATTGGTCTATTTAGAAAAAATACACTTCCTACAAAAGTAAACTGCTGTTCTGGCTTTTGATGCTTTTATTTTTCACACTTCTGTGACTCCACACAAAGCCTCACGAATGCTTAGCGAACACCCTTGCCATGCTGTCCCCCAGTTTCCACAGCATGGCTATGTCTCTGTCTTCTAGATAGAAGCTACTGTTGTGCTTCAGGTTGCTTCTGTGTGTGAGTGGCCATTGATACAGTGACTTGGATTTCAGAAAGCTCCTCAACACTTCAAGCAAACGAGACAAGCTTCTGCTTGGTATGAGGAAAGAAGAATTAAAAGTAATTTCTTTTTTGCCTTTCAGATGCCAGAATTCCAGAAAAGTTCAGTTCGCATCAAGAATCCCACAAGGGTAGAAGAAATTATCTGTGGTCTTATCAAAGGAGGAGCTGCCAAACTTCAGGTGACTAATTATCAAGAAACGGTCATTAGGCAGGTTTTATTCTTAAGATCTCTCATTGCCTACTGAGATAATCTGCATTAAGCAAATTTAAATAGGTCAGGGTTTTTTTCTGGAAACAATGTAAAATCTAAAATATGTATCTAGGGTTGGCTTAACACAGCATAGTAGTGTGTTGGAAATGCAAACATAAATTTGTTTTTGCTTTTGGTGCTGAAGGTTGAATCCAGGTCCATGTGCATTCTAAGTAACCCCTTTATCACTGAGCTAAACCCCAGTCCCCCAACTTTTCTTTATTAACTAATGTCATGTACAAGTATTTACCATTTTAACAATAACAATTAAAAGTATAATTTTAAGTTGATGTTCCATATTTTAATTAACTGTCATTGTTAAAATACAAACCTTATTAGGACCTAGTTGTATTTTCTGATTCTCTTTTTTATTTTTTTTAATTCTCTTTTTAAAGAGACATTTTAAATGTAAATTAAACTCACAATTTGAATATTGAGCAAAAACAAATGATTTCTATTTTAAAAACATAACTAGTTAAATGTGATGATGCACAGTGGAAGGCGAGGCTGACGGATTACAAGTTTGAGCCCAGCCTGGAAAACTTAGTGACTAAGTGAGACCTTGTCTTAAAATGGATAGATGGATGGATGGATGGATGGATGGATGGATGGATGGAGATGCATCTCAGTGGGAAGGCCCTGGTTTGAATCCCCATTACTGCTCAAAAAATATTTTTCTAAAAACAAATAATTTTTAACTCTGTCTCTTACCAGTTTTAAGAGCTAGTAAACTGTTTCCACATGTTTACTGGTATTACCTTAAAATATACAAGTTAAATCCATTATGTAAAGTGTCAGAAATTAAGAATTTTATATTGTGTTATTGCTTCCAGTGCATTGACTGAGTTTGCCAAAATTTTAGTAGTGTTTTATCTCTAGAGAGAAAAATAACCAGATCACCAGCAATTAAAAATTCCTATACTGTTTTACAGATTTTATTTGGTGACAAAGATGGGCAATTAAGAGCGTGCCTGTAGTTAAAGGTTATTGCCCAGACTTTGTGTGCCGATTGCAGCAGGAAACATGGGTGAACATTGTGTCCTACAGCAGGACTGTGTTCAAGACCCACCCAGGCCTCTAGTGTGAGGACTCAGCGGTCTATGTTTGGGAGCCACCCAGCTTGTGGCTATGTTGTGTAATGCCTGTGTCCCTTTCCTTACAGATAATAACAGACTTTGATATGACACTAAGTAGATTTTCCTACAAAGGGAAAAGATGTCCCACATGTCATAGTAAGTATGATACTCTTTTAAAAAAATACTTTAACGGTAAGTATTTTAAGATCCATTTTGCCTGTATTATCTGTAAGATAATTGGGATTTGAAAATTCCTTTTGGATGTCAGAAGTGAGAAGAACCTGCTCACATGCATTCTCTCTTTTTTTTTTTTTTTTTCTTTTTTTTATATCGGAAATCAAACTGAGGACATTGCGCTTGCCAGGCAGGCACTGTGCTGCTGAATTGTAACCCCTCTCATATAATATTTTGAAGATTGTTCTATGTTTACATAAATGACTATTTTCATGTATAGTTTTGTTAGCAAAAGTATAGAGACTTTAAAATATTCCACAATAAATATAGCCTGCTCATTGTTCAAGAACTATTTAAATTGGCTTTATTTTTTTGTTTTCTGTTTTTCTTGAGGCATGATCTCACTTTGTAGTTCAGACTGGCCTTGGACTCACTATGTAGCCCTGACTAGCCTCCAGTTTGCAGAGATCTCCTTCCTTAGCCTCCTGAATGCCAGGATTATGTGTAATCCATATCCAGTTTGAAACCAGAAGTTTTAATAATTCTGCTAACTGACTTGGTACTTAAAATAAAAAGTACGTAGTTACTCCTGGTAGTAGTGGCATCAATTAGAATATTTTCTTTTAACGCCTGTTTGCTTTCTCACTAGATGTCATTGATAACTGTAAGCTGATTACAGATGAATGTCGCAAAAAGGTAAGCACTACCAGGGATGCAGAATTAGCCTCTGTTGCCTAAGAATCACATCAGGTTTATTCACACAGACATAAAGCGTTTTATTTTGCTTTGTTTTGTGATACTGGGAATTGAACCCAGGCCTTTATATGTCTAGGCAAGTGCCCTACCACCAAACTAACACCTACAGTCCTGTTTTGTCTGATTTGGAGACAGGGTCGCAGTGAGTTGCTCAGGCTGGGTGAAATTTACTGTACATCTACTTCAGCCTCCAGGGCAGCCAGACTTATAGTACCACCATGAGCTACTATCTGTCTTCACTTTATTTTTATGGAAAACTTAACAGTCGCTTTCAAATCTACTGTTTTAGTTACCTTCTTGTTGCTGGACAAAATACCTGACATCACAAGTTAAAGGATCAGAGATTTATTTTAGCTCACAGTGTATATAAACTTCAGTGTGTAGTTGGCTGGCTCCAAGGCAGGGCAGCATGACAGAGGAGGCTTGTTTATGGCATTGTGGCAGAAAGCAGAGCCATCCAGGGAAGAGGAGAGATAAATATACACACCCTTTTAGGTCAGGCTCCCAGCTACCTAGCTCTTCCCACCAGCCTTTACCTCCCAGCATCGCACCCAGCTGTAAACCCATCAGAGGACTAACCCAGCATCACACACCCATGAACCAGTCACCTCCCAAAAGCCCTGCTGTGAGGGCATGTGGCTTCCTTAGATTTAAAATTTTTGAATAATTACTAAAATGTTCTAGTTATTATGTTCACTGGAAAACTAGAATGCAAGTACTTGGGTTTAATATTTTTTTGCTCCCCTTTGATCAGAAAATTACTTTAGTAGTTTGCTTGTGTGTCTAGCTCTATGTGTTTAAACCTAATAAGGTTCACAGTGTGAATCAAGCTTAACTTTCATGTGAAAACTAAAGTTATTTTGTAATAATCTGATGAATAGTTCTAAGTAGATTTTGTAGGAATATGTAATTATATGCAAACTAAGATCAACAAAGTCTTTGCAAGTGTACATCAACCCAGTTTACTCATCTAGAAAGCACTTTATGGAAAACATCTGTTTACATTGTTTTGCTTTCCGTAAAACAAACCAGATTAGTAAGAAGACTGTAGCTTTCATAATGAAGTCTGTTTCTCTCTAGCTACTGCAGCTGAAGGAACAGTATTATGCTATTGAAGTGGACCCTGTGCTCACCGTGGAGGAGAAGTTCCCTTATATGGTAGAATGGTAAGTGGTAGAAGCTGAAAAGCAAATACAGTTGCTGCGGTTTAACTGACCAGCCAGACATGATGGCGCAGGCATGTAATCCCAGCACTTGAGAAGCTGAGGCAGGAAGATCACTGTGAGTTCGAGGCTAGCCTGGGCTGCAAGGCAAGTTCAAGGCCAGTCTGAATTGCATAGCAAAAAAAATAAAATCCCAAAACAACAAAACAAACCTTTTTAAAAGTATGGATAAGATGTGGCTTAAATGGGACAAAAAAGTTAGGGTTGTTATTGACTCTGAACTCAGTTTGGCCCAGCCACTGACACCATGGTGGATGAAGAGACCTTTGACGTGGGTTACGTTCATCATGGTGCAGCATTCCCAGCAAGCCCCCCAGTATGGGTATGGTGTCAAGCTCTAGGAGAAAGCTGTCATCACAGACTGTAACCAAGAGGAATTAGAGCCATCCCCAGGGCCGTCTCATTTGAAGAGCTTTTCAGGGAGTAAAAATGGTTTGAGTGAGGCAGGGACTGTAGCTCAGTGGCAGAGCATTGCCCAGCATGCTCAGATTCACACTCGGTTTGATCCTTAGACCCATTTTTACAGAAAGGTGCCTTGACCTGGGACACAGCTGATGCTTTGTTTTTTTTGTTTGTTTGTTTGTTTGTTTTGTTTTGTTTTGTTTGTTTGGTCTTTTTGAGACAAGGTTTTGCTACACAGTTTAGGCTGGCCTTGAAGTCCTGCCTCAGCCCCCTAAGCACTGGAGTTACAGGCATGGACCATCATACCCACCCTACAATTGTTGCTTTAAAACCTGAAGAGACCAGAAGTGTTTGTCTTCATTATCCTATTACCTAACAAGATGCAGTTCATCTGTGTCTATGATTTTAACTTTGAAAAGAGACTTTCTGTTCCCTCTTTTAGAAGTAGAACTAGAGCTGGGTGTTATAGCACATACTGTGACCCAGCACTGGAGAGGCTGAGGCAGGGAAATTGCAAGTTTGAGACCAGCCTGGGTTACATAGCAAGACCCCTCCCCTGCCAAAAAAATAAACTGGAGCTAGACTTGAAAGGGTTAAAAATGGCTTTTCCATAATGACAGAAGGGCTGTGAGAGTTAGAAGTGCCTGAGAGGGGAGAAGCTTCACTTGGAGAATGAGCTCCCTGGCTGACAGGACACATGGCTGAGAGGAAGGTCAACTGGCAGTGCTGAGGGGTGTTTTGAGTTCTTTTTGAGAAGGGCTAAGAATTACATTCTAGTGCCAGGTGTGGTGGTGTGCGTACGTAATCCCAGCACTCAGGAGACTGAGGCAGGAAGATTGTTTCAAGTTTAAGACCAGCCTGGACTAGAAAGTGAGCTCAAGGCCAGCCTGAACTACATAGTGAGACCCTGTCTCAAAAAGACCAAAAAAAAAGGGAAAGAATTAAAAAATTACGTTCTAGGGGCCTTCACATTAGGGTGCTATGATTGTAGGTGTTCTTACATAGTTACAAAGCAGGCTAACCTGTAGAGCACTGGCCATGCCAAGAACTCTCTTGCTTACTAGGGAGCATCTTTATACTTTTCACAGCAATTTAAACTACCAACAAATAAAAAGGCCCTATGCAATCAGAAGTTATTGTGGATTGACTTCTTAGACTGAGAAAAGGCTTCAAATCTGTTTCCTTTCATCACCATATTATTTTTTGTTTCAAATCCATTTTATTTCAAAGACAAAAATAAAATTTCAAAGCACAACGACCAGGGGACAACCATGGCATATACATTGTGTACTGCCATCTCCAAATCAGTCACCCAGAGCGCAAGACATCTGCATTCAACTGTTCAAGCAGTACCAGCACAAATCTTTCTCTTCATTGAACTCAGAAATCACTAGTGTAACTATCTTAACGTGTGTGTGTGTGTGTGTGTGTGTGTGTGTGTGCGCGCGCGCTTTCAGACTAGTGAGGCAGTACAGTGTTTACACATGCATGTCTGATTTATTTCACTTCCGAGTATAGTCTCAGGTTGCATCCATTTACCTGTAAAAGTGTCAAGTTTGTCCTTTATGGCTGAGTACTGCTCCTTATTCATTCCTTAGTCGATGGGCGTTTTCCAAGGTCTAGCTATTACAAACTGTGCTGCTATAAACATGGGTGCATATATATTGCTATGGTATGATGTTTTAATTCTTCTGGAAAGATACCCAGAAGGGGGTCAAGTGGGACCTCCAATCCTAGTTTTTTGAGGAATCGCCACACTGATTGCCACTGGTTGCACTACACTGCCACCAACACTGGGGAAGGTTTCCTTTTTTCCCCATAGCCCCTCCAGCATTTGTAATTGCTTGATTTCTTGTTAATAGCCATTCTTTCCAGAGTGAGGTAGAATCTTGTTGTTTTAATTTGCATCTCTCAAATGAACAGTGACGTTGAACATTTTTTCATATATTTATTTGCTGCATTCCTTCATGTGAAAAGTGTATAGTCATCTCAGATGCCCATTTTTGGATTAGGTCTTTACCTTTGGGGAAGTCTAATTTACTTTGAATTCTTTTTATATTCTAGACATTAGCCCTTCTTCTGAGGAACAGTTTGCGAATTTTTTCCCCACACTGTGGGTTGTCTCTTCACTCTGTTGGTTTCTTTTGCAAAAGCTTTTTAGTAAGATAAAATTCCAGTTGTTGATTCTTTTAACAGTTCCTGTGCATTCTGGGTTTTATTTATATAAAGTCTTTGCCTACACCAATCAATGTCTTCAAGAGTTTTCCCTAGTCTTCCAGAAAATTTTATGTTTCTGTTTTACCATATTAACTATTTAAGCTAAGACTCACTCAGGAAATGAGATGCTGTAAGAATATGCCCAGCAGGCCATGCAGGGTGGTGCACACCTGTAACCCAGGCACCCTGGGCGGCTGAGGCAGAAGGCCTGCAAGTAGCAGCCCAGCTTGGGTAACTTAGTGAGACCCTATGACAGAGTAAAAATGGCTGAGCATGCTGCTCAGTGCCAAGACCCTGGATTCAATCCCCATTATGGCCAAAAATACAAATAAAAAGCACATCACATTTTGTCATTAGTGATGAATTTAAGTCTATAAGATTTAAATCCAAATGTGAGGAACACAAGTCATTTTTTCTGATGCTTTATAATAAAAATAATTGTCTTAATTTATTTTTCCCTCTTTGGCCAAAACTCCAGGTATACAAAGTCACATGGGTTGCTTGTTGAACAACGTATACCAAAAGCTAAACTCAAGGAAATTGTTGCAGAATCTGATGTTATGCTCAAGTAAGTTTCTTGAGGATTTTTATTATTGTCAACAGAATCAAACTATTAAAAATGTACTCAACTGTATGTTTTTACTAAAATAAGCTAAAACATTCCATTAAAATATTCCAGTACATGCCATCTGTCACAAAATGGATAGTGATGAAATATGATACATTACATTCAGTGTTGATGACAACAGCCTTGAGAGAGTTAAGTACTAATTTGTATTTCCTTCCTCCAGATTAAGAAATTCAGACTAGGGGCTGGGGATTTAGCTCAGCGGCATAAGCGCCTGCCTTGCAAGCAGGCAGTCGTGAGTTCGATCCCCGGTACCGATAAAAAAAAGAAAAAGAAATTCAGACTAACAAATTTATCCAACAAAGACCATTTTGAAATTTTTTAGCAAAATACTTTCTTTTTTTTTTTTATCGTACCAGGGATGGAACTCATGACCGCCTGCTTACAAGGCAGGTGCTTATGCCGCTGAGCTAAATCCCCAGCCCCTAGCAAAATAGTTTCAAAAGAACTAATTATAAAAGGAATATTTACAAATCAAGTTGGAAAAGATGTAAATTTATATATTGTTTATAAACTTATCTGAGTCTACTGAATTCTCAGACTTCTTTGAAAACTTTCTGGGAAAGGTACAAAATTAAAATGTTTGTAGTATATGCATTATACATCAGAAGTTTTATTTTCAATACTATTTACCACATCATAAAATTATCAACTTGTTATGCAAATACAGTGATGCTCAACTTTCTGTGGTGCTGGGTTTTAAAGCCAGGATTTCACTTATGCCAGTTAAGCCCTCTACTACTAAGCTACACCCTAGCCCACCCCTGTGATGTTTGGATGCTGCTCTATTTTAAGGTAATTACTTGTAAGAAGGAAAGTATAAAATTGCAGAAAGAATGCACTGACTATTCCATTCACACACAGTGACAGTCTGATTTAACCTTTAGTTAAAGGCCATGCTGCTTTGCACTTCTGTAGTAGAGAGCAAATAGCTGGACTCCAGGCAGGGGTCTCCAGCTCACCAGAAGTGAGTGATCGTTAGCTTAGAGTTACGTAAATCAGGACTAGTGGGCTTGTACAGTCAGTGTGAGTCTAAAGACATCTAGTTAGGACTGTTACAGCTAATTACAGGGAAGGCAGAATCAGCTATTGCTTAAAAAACTTGTGCTAGTGGAAGCATGGATAGCTAACTGCCCTCCTGGGCAATCTTTTGAAATAAGGATATACATGAGCCACAGAAATTAGGTAGAAGTATTTTGCTTTTCAGCTTCTAAGTGAAAAGGACATAAACTGTGCTGTTTAACAATTAGTTTGTCTCCATCTTGCAGGGAAGGGTACGAGAATTTCTTTGATAAGCTCCAACAGCACAGTATCCCTGTGTTTATATTTTCGGCGGGTATTGGCGATGTTCTAGAGGAAGTTATTCGTCAAGCTGGAGTTTATCACCCAAATGTCAAAGTTGTGTCCAACTTCATGGATTTTGATGAAAATGTAAGAATATCAAGTCATGCCTCAATTCTTTTTTTTTTTTTTTTTTAATAGTACAATGATTGAATCCCAGGCCCTTACCAGGCCTTTTTAAGTTTTTGAGACAAGATCTTCCTGGGTTGTCCAGGCTGACTTTGAACTGGTGGTATTTGCTCTTTCAGCCTCCAAAGTACCTGGAATTGCAGGCATGCACCACCACTCAGACTCAGCTTTCAGTTATTTCTAAATCTGAAAATACTTCAGTGATGTAAATTCATTTATGTATTGTTTGACACATATTCATTAAAGTAAGCGAAGTTATCAGGCCTATCATCATCATCCTCATGTAGTACTATAAAGTAATACACCATTTTTAAACTTTGATGTACAAGTCACAGACTAAAATTTGTAAAACTCCTCATAATTTAATGCAGCAGTTCTGAATATTTAACATTCACAGGTGGAAGAAAAGAAGTGAGTTAGAAATGACATTATTTAAAGAAGTTTTCCTAATTAAGGCAGTATGTTAGCATGATACGGTGATTTAATCCTGTAATCTTAGCACTTGGGAGACTGGGGCAGGAGGATCAAGAGTTCAAGGGAACCTGAGCTAGAGAGTGTCTCAATAAGAAAATTATATATTATAAAATTCATAAAATGAAATACTAAAGAAATAAAATGAAATATTTTGGCTAAGAATAAGGTAAAATGAAAGTTGTATTATCGTCCATTATGTTTTTCCATTTAAAGTAGTTACTAGATAATACTACTTACTATGAATATGATTTAGATTTCGGTGCTTTGTAGATTTTTTTTTTTAGGCAGGGTCTACCTGTGTAGTTCAGGTGTCCTTAAACTCACTAGCTCAGGCTGGCATTGAACTTGCAATGATCGTCCTGTCTCAGCCCCCTGAGTGCAGGGATTACAGGCATGCACCACCATCCCCAGCTGTAAATTTCTTATGATAAAATAATAATGACACCTACTAAGAACTATAAAATATGAAAGTCTTAGCAAATAGTGTTTGTAAAACCTCTTATTTGAGAATGTTTCTGTTTAACAGGGGGTACTCATAGGGTTTAAGGGAGAACTAATTCATGTATTCAACAAACACGATGGTGCCTTGAAGAATACAGACTATTTCAGCCAGCTGAAAGACAACAGCAACATTATTCTGCTCGGAGACTCCCAAGGAGACTTGAGAATGGCAGATGGGGTCACCAATGTTGAGCATATTCTGAAAATTGGATATCTAAACGATAGGGTAAGTATATAAACCTAAAATTTTTTTTTAAGGAAAAAATGAAGAAACTATAGGTTAATTGCTACTATAGACACAAGAAAGTCTTTCATTCCTGTACTTTGGCGATGTTTCGCGGTGCTGAGAAGCACAGGTCTACGCTACACCTACCGAGGAGGAGGGTGGATATTACATAAGTGCCCGGTGCTAGGTGCCACTCTGGACATAACAATCAGAAGTCTCCAAACACTGCCAAAGTTCTCAGAACGGAATCACGCCTGGGCGGAGAGAAATCACTTTGGGAAAAAAGCTACCATATGGGAACATTCCTATGAGTCATAGTTTAAATGTTTTCATTTCAGCTAATGAAACTGAATTGACTCCATTTTGCCCAACAGATCTAGTAAAACAGCGGGATTAATATTGAAATTGCTTGCTTCTTTTCTCTGCAGATTAACTTTCCTTCTGTTCTTCTGTTCATTAGGTAGATGAGCTGTTAGAAAAGTACATGGACACTTACGATATAGTCTTAGTGAAAGACGAGTCACTGGAGGTGGCCAACTCCATCCTACAGAAGATTCTGTAGCAGCTGTTTGTGGAAGGGCCTCGCTCCTGGACTGCTCGCGCCCTGACCCCGAAGACTTATTTATGATACTTTCTCGATGTTGACGCTGTCTCTGCGCAGCTGAAGTGTTCAGTCGGACATGGTGCATCATCAACTGGAAACTTCTCTCCGCCTCTCAATACACTCCTCACCATGTTTTTTAACCAATTTGAAAAAAGAAGAAGAAGAAATTTTACAGCCAGAATTAGAAAAGTAATTCCCAACTTTTCTAAGGTCAATTTTGTAGTTGAGGTATCATGCATTTTTGGGGGAGTTTTTTTACAACAGGAAAGTTTGTAGACATTTAAAGTGTTTTACGAAATGGTGAAATAATGTGCATGATTTAAGTATTGCCATTTTTGTAACTTGGGTGGATTATGCCAATGCTATCACCATCTCCCTAAATTGTATTATGTTTGGTTATTTGTCTGAGCAAAATCAATATTCACCAGAAGACTGACACGCACGATTCAAAAAACTATTGGTGTCCACCTGTCACTCACTAATCTACAAGGTGTTCTGTCAAAGCACTGATAATAAACATGAAATCAAAGCCTTTTTAATTCTGCAGTCAAGACTTACTTAGGCTGGCCATGGCACATGCCTGTAATCTTAGCACTCGAGAGGCTGAGGCAGGAGCTTGAGTGCTCCAGGCAGGGCTGGTCTACATAGTGCACTCTAGCTCAGCACCCCACCCACACAGAAAGACTGTATTTATTCAGCAGGTGTTTACTACCTGCCGTGTGTTGTGTTCCTCTCTGCCTCTCATTTTGTACATATGAATTATAACATCCTTGTCATAGTGGCTCCATAAAGTATACACCATAAATTCAGGCATAAAAAGATACTTGTGGGAGGTTTGTTCTGCCCTGCAGAACATACAAAGGCCTGTGAAAATTATTTCCCCAGTTGAAAACATGAGGGAAAGAGAGTACTTTATTCTCAAATATCACAAAACAAGCTGTAGGTGGATCGCCCTGTGACTGCTGAACGGTGCACAGGACAGCCAGCACCCCTGGACTCGGAGACTCACCTGTGACCAGTCTGTCCCCAGCTCCAGAGCTGCAGCAGCCAGCAGGTTATGTCCAGCCTCTGAGCCACGGTCCACCCAGCTGGAGCGGATGGCTCTGGACTTCTGCTGTGGGTAGAGCTTCGGGTCCAGAAGAGTGTGACAGAAAGGCAAGGTCACATGGCTTACAGATGCTCCTTCTTACTCTCTTGTCATTTGTTCCTCATACAGTAACCGATGAGACAAAATATGCAAGAGTGGCTGGCATGGCGGTGCATGCCATGCTAATACCATTCAGTGGCAGCAGGCAGATCGCCATGAATTTCAAGCCAGCTCAGACTACACAGTGAAACCCTGCCTCAGAAAACAAAAATCAAGAGCAAAAGATACAATGGGTCTGAGCTATCATGAAGTACAGTGATTTTTTTTTTTAATTGGCATTTTCGGGTGCAACTCTACAACTCTTCTGTGTTTTTGTGCTTTCATGAGTCTCTTAGTGTTCTGAATGGATTCAAAATGTTAGTGTTTCATAGTCATTCTAATTTTGGGGAAAAGCAAAAAATTGTGTGGTCTCAGATCTGGTGGGTGAGGTGGATGAGGACACTGTCCTGTTTTTACCAGCCTGCCTTTTCCTGTTGGATGGTACTCAGCAGCAGCATTCACCATGTTCTTTATCTCACCTTGTAAAGATACTCAGGAAAGAAGCCCTCCAAGGCTGCTTCAGAAAGCGGCAAGAGCCATGGCACAAGTGTTTGACTCGAGGGGGAGGATTTTGAGGGAGATTCCTGGCAATGTCTTTCACCACGACAGGTTTTAAAATTTAAGCATTCGCCATACATTTTGATCACCTCATTTCCAAGATCAGAGTTAAAACTAAACTTGTGAGATGGTTGTGGTGGGGACATGTGTGTGTTCCCAGCCACTGCAGAGGATTAAGGTGGCAGGACCGTGAATCCACGAGTTTGAGGCCAGCCGGGGACCACAGACATAGATCCTAACTCAGAGCAAACTTGTGGGCCGAAGTGTCGCTCAGTGTTAGAGCGCATGGCTAGCATGAGTAGAGCCCCGGGTTCGATCCTAGCATTACACACGTGCATGCACACGTGCACACAGACACACACACACAGCATGAAAGTAGGCTTTCCCAGTGGAAAGACGGTGCATGTGGCTGGTCCGACAGTGCTTTCTTCCTGTCAGCACTAGTTTGTCACAGGGCTGTTTCCTGAAGGAGCAGGCTGCATGGTGACAGCTCTGCAGCTCTACCACAGCCCCTCAGGGCTCAGACCCCTAGCTCAGCACCTGCCTGGAGCGCTGCATCTCCCGGGTCCTTCTGACATGTCCCGTGACAAGCTTCTGGCCTGTCGTCTCAGTGCCACTTGATGCTAGTGACATTTAAAATATTTGTACTCAAATTCTGGTGTCAGAAGTTTACTGCAAGCTGAGTGTGGTGGCATAGGCCTGTAATCCCAGCACTCGGGAGGCTGAGGCAGGAGGATCATTGAGTTTGAGACTGGCCTGCCTACAAAGTGAGCTCAAGACCAGCCTAAACTGCATAGAGAGACCCTATCTCCAAAAAGACAAAAAAGAGAAGTTTACTACAGCCATTGAAACATAGGCTGTGGAATCAGACTGCAGGTGGTCACTGTCCCACCAGGTATAGCAGGTGGGGACCAGGGTGGCTTGGGGTTGGGTTTTCTGCAGTGATCAGCACTGAACCCAGAACAGGTTACTGCATCAGTCAGTCCCCTTAGATACACTCCTCTCTGCATGCATTTCAAATGTATCTCGATGTGGAACAGTAGCCAACCATTTGGTGCTGTTCCATTCATAAAAATGAGCCCCATGGTGTCTGCTTGAATCAGTGTGACAGAAGTATCTTTTGCAGCCCCCATAAACATTACGGTTGCCTGTAGCTATTACATTTGCCAGAGAGCCTAGTATCAGCCAGTGGTTCAGCTTTGCTGGGGATTGAACCCTGGGCCTTGCTCATGCTAGGCAGGTGTTCTAGACCAGCCTCAGGTGTTTGTGTTTTTGAGACAGCCTCACTGTGTAACCCAAGCTGGCCTCAGACACCTGGTCTTCTGCTGAAGCCTCCTGAGTGCTGAGATTGCAGGAGTGCACCCCCACTCCTGCCTGGCTTTAAATACTGCTTTCTGAGGCAACACAGTTTTGAATGGTGGAACCATTTTGATTATTAGAAAAGTCATTGGTGATGCCAGCTCATTCCAGAATGAATTCACAAGAAGTCTGGATCCCAGTGTACATAACAGACACCAAAGCGGAGGTAACTGAAGGTCTGTTTGACCAGCCTGTAAGGCATAGGGCTTTCTCTTTACCATGCTTTAGGGGAACCCGCAAAGAAAAGATGGCCGTGATCCTGAGTGATTAATCCTGAAGCTTCTCCATGGTCATCCTGTATGATTCAAGCATTATGCCACCTTTACAGTTAATCTGGTGTTTCAGTATAAATTTAATAGATAAAAAGTGCTCAAGGTGTAAAGGACACAAGCTTTGAAAAGTCACATCTGCCCAGCACTGGGCACGTTGGCACACACCTGTGATCCCAGCTAGCTGGGAGACTGAGGCAGGAAGATCGAGTATTGGAGCCTACCCTGGATTACATAGCAAAACCCTGTTGGCAACAAACCAAAATCAACCACACGGAATAGTCAGTTGGAGCCAAACTCTGTGCGACGAAGCTTCTGACTAAGTCTTAAGGTCCCCTTCTGCACCAAGGAGCAGTTGTGAGGACTAGATGCAGAGCCACTCAGCCCTCATGTAGCTTCCATCCCCCGGAGAGACAGAGGAGAAAGATAAACGTGATACACACCATGAAGAAAACACAGGCCAGGCGGCAAGGGAACAATGGGTGTTACAGTGGTCAGGAAGCTCCTCTGAGGTGACACCAAAGCAGAATCCTCAAGGGCAGCAAGCAGTGGCCATGTGGGTGGAGGACAAGTGTTCCAGCAGAGGCTGCGGGATCACAGTGCTTACAGAACTGAGCTGGGGTAACAGAACAGTGGGCGATGGATGGGAAGAGGAGGTGGGGAGGGGTGGCTGCCAGGCCACACGGGACTCAGAAATCGCACTTGGTTCTCTGCTCTGCCTGGGACACCATGGCCCCACTCTATGCAGGGAGAATGGACAGCGAGCAGGTTGAACCCGGCACACGTATTGGGGGCCGCACAAGCACTAAGCCAGCAGTTACAGGTAGAACTGGGGAGCAGCTGCTGCTGTGTTCAGTCACCAGCTGGAACAGGGACAGGAAGTTGTTGGGGAGACCAGAGGAGAGCATGGAGTCACACTGGAGGAGCAGAAATGTCCTATCTGTTCACGAAGAATGCCAGGTGCCTGGAGAACTATGAGAGAAGATGAAACAGCCCGGGGCACAGAGGAGAAATTCAGCAGAGACTAAATTTGGTGCTGTTTGCACTAAATTGAAAAGGGGAGAGCAGAAACTAAATTTGTTAGCATTCCACTACTCCAGCAAATACCCAAGACAACCAACTCACAAAGACAAAGGTTTCTTTTGGGCTCTGTGCAGAGGGGCCAGTCCATCTCGTCAGCTCATGGCTTTGGGCCTGTGACAAGGGGGACACGATGGTGGGTGCCTGTGACAACAAAACCACTCATCTCATGGCCAACGAGTGGAAGAGAAAACCAGTCCTGCATCCCACTGTCTCCGCAGGCACGTCCCCCTCCCCCAGCATTCCCACCAACTCCCAGCAGTGCCACAGTGGGGACTTCCAGGGACACTAAACTGAGCTGAGCACAATGGCACATGGCCGTTGTCCCAAGACTGGGCCCCAGGAATTAGACAGCACCCTGGGCAAGATAAGGAGACCCATCTCAAAAAAAGATAAAAAGAGGAAAAAGAAGAGCCCTAGCACAGCAGGACCCAAGATTTAAATGTGGCCAAGGTGAGCTGCAAGAATCTCCTGAGCAATCGAAAAGCTGAACCATGAGGACCACATAAAGTCAAACACTCAAAAGAGTAAGTCACATCTGCATGTAGCCATAAATAATCAAAATCAGTTTGTTATTAAAAAGCCTCCAGATTCCTAAGAGAACTGAGGAAAGAGGCTGCAAAAGAAGAGGTTTTGTTCCTGGAAATCTCAAATACTAAAGTTCTATATGAGGAGGCAGGGAATCCTACACAGCTCTAAGGTCTTGCATTCAGGCCAACTAACGGTGTCTGTTTAAGTAAAATACTTTGAAAAGTGAGAATTGGTAAATAACCAGAGATCCCAATTCACTGGTGTTAACAGAACAAAGCACGCTGCTTATGCCTGCAGTTGTCCTGTGTGTAGCATCACATGGATGCCTGCAATGTCTTACTCATGAGCTCCAGCCTACGACCGAAGTGCAGACTGTCCCAGGCAGAAGCTGGGTGTGCACAGCTGCGCCCAACAGAAGCTCCAGTCTCATTCGGCAGCACTGAAGTGAGACACAAGATAAGATAAGGAGCCTCTCTGATCTCCACCCTGAATTTGACCTTTGCACATCCAGCATTGCAAGCGCACCAGCGCCCTAAGGCCACCCACAGACAGCAAGTATGCAGTGGCAGCAGGAAGGCAGCCTGCCTGGGTGTCCTGTGTCTGACACAGCCCCAGCTCAGCTGGGCCCTCCAACCTCAGGAGGAATGGAAGGGCCTGAAGGCCTCTCTAGACACTCAAACTGAGCTGAATGAACTCGAGGCAGAGCATGAGCGTGTGATTCTATCCTCGTAAAGGCCGTGAACACAATGCATAGGGTCAGCTGCACACCCAGAGGGAGTTAGCCTTTGAGAAACAAGGTCACCAACCTGCCACACACACTCAGGAGCTGTCACAGAAAACAGAACTAACAGAGAGAGGCAACAGGGCCACGGCGTGCCAGCATCCAGGGCAACTCTGGGTTCACCTGGAATCCCTGCAGAACAAAACAGTCCAAGTGCCAGCTGCTGTGAGTGCCCACCCATCCTTCTCTGCCTGGTCTTTGAGGAGCCCCCCGAGCCCCTTTCTTTGGGCGCCTCCTTGGCTATGGTGCCACCCAGTACTGGGGCTCTGCCTGGAGCTTTGCTGCCTCCTGTGGCCCCTGTGCCTGGCTGACACCAATGTCACAAGGTCCTCTAACTCCTCCTGACTTCCTGCCAGGACAGCAGGTGGTCCCCACACCACAGGGCCCTGCCTTACCTCCCCACCAGGGCAGCACAGACACGCAAGTATCCAGCAAGGAAACTGACCATGCAGCCATGCGATAAAACAGGAGTTTATACCAAAAAAGACCAAGTTTCTGACATTTATTGCATGGAACAAGCACACAGCATTTTCACAAACTACCTCGGGGCTACATCAGGACACATCGGCTTGAGTTAGTGGAGCAGTTCAAAAGGAAAAGCCACTTAATGCTTCAGGGAAAGTGCCAACCCCCTTGGGGACAGAGGATGCAAGGCAGACATTGCTGCGTGATGAGGGACGGTGCCAGGTATACATCACTACTGTCCCATGGCAGGGGGTTCCCTGGCCCCCAATCTGCCCTGGGACACAGACAAGAGGCAGGACAGAGATCCTGCAAGTTCAGGGCTCATCTGGGGACAAACCCATCTGGGAACAAGCCCATCTCAGCGAGGCCCAGCCACCAGCCCTCTCGTGGAAGGGAGTGCAGAGGAGAACAGAGTGACGGGAGTGAGAGGCCAGCAGAAACCCCCAGCAGCAGCTGCACGATCACGCTTCCTGCTCACGTCAACTCAGCCGCTTGGCACACTGCGTCCCCCCACTTCGAGTAGTGCCACCGAAGGAGGGCCCTGTGGCCGCCTGCAGGGAGGACAGAGCCCACACTCACTGTCTGGGCTTCATCTTTCCCACCCACACGGAGAACATGTTTAAGACACTGACATTAAAAAACATTTTAATCTCTGTAGACAGTTGCCGGACACTTTTTCTCTTGATCCTGCAAGATGACACTATTTCCCATTAATTCCTGGAAGGCACAGATAATGGCTGGCAGGGTAGCCTTCCCAGTCCTTTCCAGGCCAAGGACCCTGCCCAGGTTTGGTCCTGACCCAACCCACGTGTGCACCAGGTGCCATGGGACCTGCTTGCTAAAGCTGACATTCACTTCTGGAGACCCTAGTACCCTTGCTGCGTGACAGACACCAGCTGGCTCGAGCTGTGAGCTAGAGCTCATCGTGTTTGGTCTCCTGGTCTTTGAGCTTGAACTCCTCAGCCGTGACCTTCCCGTCTCCGTTCCGGTCCTGGTTGGTGAACATATTCTTCACGATCATCTCTGCGTCAAATCCAGGCGCCAGCTTCCCTTTGCCAGTTGCCACCTGGGCGTGGATGTACTCTGAGAACTGGGGAGAGAGGGGACAGGACAGAGGTGAGTGACAACAGTGGGGTCCCAGAGCCTGGGCCAGAACCGCGTTCACCCGAGGGGGATGAGGCTGGGTAGAGTCTGAGTGTCCACAGAAGACAAGACTGCCCTGGAAATGCACACTGAGTGGCCCCACAGCCTGAGGCGTGTGGATCCACACAGTAGCTGTGGCGTGGTCCCGTCTGCATCCGTCACACGGTGGAAACCACCATGAGCAGGATTTGGACCCAGAACACATCGCACCCTGCCCATGCCAAGGAGCATAATAAGGAAGTGACAAACGGCACACAGTGCAGTGCACCAGGGAAAACAAGACACTGCGCTAAGGGACAGGGGCTGAAGTCCTGAGTCCAGATATCCAGGAGTCCCCGGGGGGAGGACAGCTGTGCACAGGCCACGGGGGCGCCACACACTGGCCAGCGTGGAGGGAGGTGGCGGTGGCCAGGACGTCCTGCCCTGAGAGACTGCAGCCACCACCACACTGTGGACTGGAATCAGCCACGCCACATGCTTGGACCACGGGGAGGTGACGCTGCTAAGACACCACAGACAGCGGCAGGAAACACAGCTGTGTGTCCCCCAGGCAGAAGCCACAGTGTCCTGTTGACCAAGAAACCACAAGTGGGCAGGGACTGAGCTGAAGGAAGGGCCACAGCACGAGGGAGGCCAGTGTCACCTTCCCTGGGAGTCTGCAGGGGAAGAGCCCAGAAATCCAGGTTCCAGGGGACCCAGGGATGTGCCCCAAGGAGGGGCTAGGCTGAGATGGGGGGCGGGGAGCCCTGATCACAGCATCTGTCAGCAGCTTCAGTGGCGCAGTGACAAAAGCCCAGCAGAAGTGAGTTCTAAAAACAGTGAAAAGCTACCTTAAAGTATGTATGGCAAACATACACTAATCAAAGTTGTAGCTTGGCATAACTGATGCCGCCTTGTGCCCTGCGTTTGACCCAGAAGAATGAAAAAATACCTAAAGCACAATCCCATGAAAAAAAGCAGAATGAGCTGCAACCACAAGAGAAAAATTAACAAAGAAGCAGGATACAGGTGTCAACCAAAAATTAATGTAAGGTTCCCGCTAAATTGTCTCCAACAGGATGTCTTTTTGTGGTTTTCTGTTTTAAAAGCTCTGTAACTTTCCAGTTCAGTGCCACTCATTTGAATTCTGAAACAGGGGTCCAGGGTGGTCGCTGAGCTCAGCTAATAAAATTCCAAATTTATCAGTTTGGCTGCTTGGATTCCTATATTGTCTATGAACCCACTTCAAAAGTAAACATTTTAAAAGAACGGAAAGCTGAGTCTGGTGGCTATGCCGAGACTAAGGTGGGAGGATGCCCAGAACTTCGAGGCCAGTTTGAGCAACACAGTAAGACCTTGTCTCAAAAATAAACCAATAGAACAGCAGGCGAGCAGCTAGAGGCAAGGAGGGTGACAGTGCTTTGGAAGTCATTTGCAGTTTACAGTACTGGGGATTGGACCCCGGCCTTTGCACTGAGCTACAACCCCACTCTTAAAAAATTTTTTCCTTCTCCTGAGACAAGGTTTCACTAAGTCATAAAATTACCCAGGCTGGACTGGAATTTATGATCCTCCTGCCCCGGCCTCTCAGAGGACCAGGTTTACAGTGTGCTCCACATTGCTCAGCGTTGTTATCTGAGGTTTTTTCATAAAGGGAGAGAAAAAAGAAAAAGAAACAGAAAGCCATAGGGGAGAAGAAGCCATGGAGGAGAGGCAGCAGCCGAGCCCCCGGCGGGAGGGCATGGGAGCACCTGCTGGGCTGCACCCAGGGCAGGGATGAGGGCGCTGTCCTGGCTCAAGCTGCGGGTAGCCGGGTGACAGGGGCAACTTCTTCAGCATATCCAGCACCAAGGTGGCCAGAGTGCCTGTGGAGCCGGACACCAGCTGGAGGCCTCTGGGCCACATGGTGAGTGCTCAGCGATGCCACCAAGGCCTGGCCTGTGCCGAGATGCCAGGCCGTGAGGGACTGCACGTGGCCCACATGCCCGACCCCTCTCCCTGCCAAGGCGCGTCCCAAAGAGCCCTCACCTCCTCCAGGAGGATGTCCCCGTCGCCGTTCTTGTCAATCTCCTCAAAGAGGTTGGGGGACACCTCGCCATTCCACACGAACATGTACCCCTCGGGCAGGCCAGCCACCAGCTCCAGCAGCTCGATGTCGAACACCAGCACGGCACTGCCCGGCACTTCCCCTGCTGCTCGAGACAGGGTGGGGGTCGGAGGGAGTGTAGGTGAGTGGGGCCAGCCTCACTGTGGCCAGGCTCCTGCAGGCTGGCAGCAGTGGGCTGTGAGCCCTCAGCGATCATGAGATCCCGGCACTTCAAATAAATAAGTAAAGACCGGCAGTCGGGTGTGCTGGCATACGCCTAGGATTGCAGCACTCAGGAGGCTGAGGCAGGAGGATCACTAGTTTGATACAGCCTGGGAACTTAGCAGGACTGTCTCCAAAATTAAAAAGGGGCTGAGGATGTAGCTCAGTGCAATGGTTCTAGGTTCAATCCCCACTATGGTGAAAAATAATAGTAATATACTCACATAAAAATAAAGGAATAAACTAGACCCATGAACACGGCACACAGAATCAGCATTCTTTCATGGGAACTTTCATTTCCACTGTATTTTTTAAGCTAAATATCTGAATTACATGTTTATGTGTAACACAAATTGGAAGAAAATACGTATTTTTTACTGTCTTGGTGAAAAAAATGTTTGAAAGCCACTAGTAGAGTCTACAATGGTAGAACTTTCAAATAAATCTAACAGCAGAACTTGAAGAATAATAACAAATTGGTTAAAGTACCTCACGCCTATAATTCCAGCACCTGGGAGGCTGAGCCAGGAGGATTTCAAATTCAAAGCGCATAGGAAGAGTTGGTGTAAAGGGCCTGGCGTTTAATCCCCAGTATTGAAGGGGGAAAAAAAGGTCAACCCAAACACTTTCACAAATTAGCCTTTCAGTCCAGGTACCAGCAGTGCGAGAGCACTGTGAAGGCTGGGAGAGGGGAGACCATAACATAAAACCCAACCACTCTACCATGCAGAGAAACCCGTTTTTCCAGAATGTGAAAGTCATCACTGCCAAAAGGGTATTTTCCTAGCTGGCTTAGATGTCAGCACAAGGAGGGGCAGTGGCTGCAGCTTTCTCCCTGCCCAGGTGGGGCCTGGAGCTGGCCCCACTGGGGCTCCTCCCAGTGGGGAGATGCATCATCCCTCTAAAACTGATTTTTCTAGAGGACGGGCGCACTGCATGTATATTTAAGAGTATAAGATAGAAAATGATATCACAGAGTTTTATTGGATCATTGAACAGAACTGTTTGCAGTATCATTGTTGGAATGTCCACTCTACAAGCTTTAATTTTGTGACTTGAACAATTATTTCTAAGATGGCAATATGTAATCCATTAACTAGTGATTTCCTACTGTTCATTTTTTTCTTCTGTAAATCTGTATAACTTGTACCCTTTCACTGTTTTTTTTTCTTTTCTCCTTAAATTAAAAAAAAAAAAAAAGAAAGGACATCTCTAAAGTACTGATTTACTGGCATTATCTCTAATATAAACTCTTTATCATATGGGTCATTTCCATTTTCATAAAAAGTTTCCTAAAAATTCAGACAAGCTTTTTAAATATGAGAGACAATATTTTAAAATCATATACATATTTTGCCCTCCTCCTGTGTTTTACTGTTAGTTTTCTTTGTGCTTACTGTATAGAAATTATATATATGAATCAGAAAATCTCTTTCCTTTGTACTTGCTTCATAACTCTAACCTAATTTATAAAATATTTTATTGTTTGCTAATTTAATTTTTTAAAGTCTTCACCAATCAATTATTTAATACAGTGTCTAAACAAAATTTTATAAGTGTCACTTAGAGAATTATAAAGATCTATTTCAAAAAGAGCCAGGAACTGTGTTTAGCATTGCTTGTTTCTAATGTATTGAGATTTTTACAATTAAAAATAAAAATATAAAATTTACAAATGGGGAAAAACAAAAACAAAAAACAAAAACAAAAACAGTGGCTTGCTGAGTGCCTGGAGTCTTTAACCCCAAAGCACAAAAATTTTAAAAAGAAGAAACCCCAAACCACACACAGAGGTTCTTTTTTTTTTTTTTTAATCAGTACCAGGGATCGAATTCACGACCGCCTGCTTACAAGGCAGGTGCTTATGCTGCTGAGCTAAATCCCCAGCCCCCAAACTAAATCCCCAGCCTCTTCTATCACACCCCCAAACACAAAATTCAGATGGTAAATGTACCCAAAACCACGCACGGTGGTGCACACCTGTAACCCCAGCCCCCTGGAAGGTGAGGCAGGAAGATTCTGAGTTGCAGCCCAGCCTGGACAACTCACCAGCTTCCCAAGACCCTCTCTCAAAGCAAAAAATAAATTAAAAGGTAAGAAAAGAAAGCATCCCGACACCCCCAAGTGCTATCACTTACCCACGCCGGCCTCCCCGTAGCCCAGGTGAGGCGGGATGATGACCGTGCGCTTCTCGCCCACACACATCTCTCTGAGCCCCATGTCCATCCCCAGCACAACTTGTCCAAACCCCAACACGATGTTGTAAGTTTTGCCTAAATTCAACCTGAAAATGAAGCAGGGGAGCCCTGTTAGTCACCACCCCATGGGCACTGGGGTGTCCCCAAGACAGGACACTCACTGCCCCCCCGCCATGTCTGCTGTTGAGCCTCAGGGAGACAGCCGGCCCAGCCAGACAGCAGTCACCTACTTCCCCGTGTCAAGGTCTCCAGGGACTGTCCCAGAGTGGAGGGACACAGACTGGGACCCTTCTGCCACTCAGGTGTCACACAACACTGAAAACTGGTAGGGTCTGAAGACTTCCTGAATCTGGTGGAGGTCCCAGGTCCACAGGCCACCCTAGGAGTGTCCCAACATCCTGGGAGTGTCCCCATGTCCTGAGAGTGACCCCGTGTCCTGGGATGTCCCTGTGTCCTGAGATTGTACTGTGTCCTGGGAGTGTCTCCGTGTCCTGAGTGTCCCCGTGTCCTGAGATTGTCCTGGGAGTGTCCCCATGTCCTGGGAGTGCCCCGGCATCCTGGAAGTATCCTTGGTACTCAAAACATTGAGGACACAGTGCTGGCCGGGCAAGCAAGACTCTGAGTTCACTCTCAGTGTGGCCAAAGAGGCAAAGCATGGGCTTGACAGCCATCGCGGTGCCCCCTCCCTACTGGCCCCAGGGGAAGGCTCTTTGTGTTGGGCCAGGCATTTTTGTGATGATTTGTTTGGTTATAGATATCAGAGCTAAGGCCCCGGACTTTCGATTCACCAAGACGTGAATTTGTTTATTTGCACCCATTTCTGTGTGCAGTGTGTAGTGATTCCATTCATCAGGGGGATGGGTACAAGACCTGAATTGGAATCCTGGTTCTGTCACCCAGTGTGACCCTGGAAAGCCTCTCAGTTTCTTCTCTGGTATTCCTTCTTCTTGGTAGGCGTGGGAACAAAACCCAGGGCCTCAGGCATGCTGGACAAGCGCCAGCGCAGGCCACACCTCAGCCCTCAGTTTCTCCCCCATAAATGGAGATAAGCTCGGTTCTCTCCCAGGGCACTGCAAAAGGCCAGCAAAACCCCCCAGCAGAGCACAGAAGGACTCAGAGTAGAGGCCTGAGGTGAGGCCAGGGTGCTGGGTATGGGACCAACAGACTCCTAAGCATCTGGTCGCCCTTGATGCCCACGGACCCCAAGTCCCAGGTTAGAAAAAGGAGCTGGCTTCACTCAAGACTGGATGTGGGCAGCCCCGTCACTTCCCAAAGGCAAACCCTGGGCTGCTCCTCAGTGCCAGGAAACCACTGATGTTCCCTGAGTTCAACACTAGGAGGTGACACAGGACAGTCCCTTTTGAGTCATAACCCTTCCTCACAGGGCTCCCAGAGTCCAGAGGACTCGTGTCTGTCTGAGCCTAAAGTCCTCCCAGTTTCCAAGCCATGGATGTTTGTCCTTCCTCCTGGATGTGGCTGTAACACGCAGATGAGGCCTTCCTCAGGCATCTCTGATCCCCAACTCTTTCCCTCAGGCCCTTTCTTAGCATTTATTTAATCGCAGATCAGCTTCCTCCTTAGTCCCTCTTTGTCCCTTCCTAGTGCCTGCATGGGTCCCAGGTCCCTTGTGCCCTAATACATGGCTACACCAGCACCCCCAGGCTCGTGGCGCCCACTTGGAGCCAAGGTTGCCAGCAGGCATCAGCCTCCCTCCTGTCACTTCACACAGACCTGGCGCTGCAGATGGACAGGGACACGTGTGACACTCAAGGTGCAGACCGCAGTGTGTCACAGGGAGAGGGGCAGCGACCTCTGGCCGTGTCAGGCGGCTGCTGGGTCTCTGTGCCACATCTGTCCACGAGTCAGGCTCCTCAAACGGGTGCTTGAAGTGAGGCACTGATTTCACTGATTCTAAAGTGTGAATTTTCTCACATCTTAGCAGCTCTGTGATGAGTGTACATTTTATGACGGATCACTATTTTTTGACAGCACTTTTGCCTTTTTTTTTTTTTTTTTGAGACAGAGCCTTGCTAACTTGCTCAGGTTGGCCTAGAACTTGCCATCCTCCTGCCTCAGCATCCCAGAGTTCTAGGATGATAGGCAAGTGCCGCCACACCAGCCAGGTGGCATTTCATCGTGCAGCATCCTGGTTCACACCATGGATTCCCTGACACCTGGTCTCAGATTTATCTCACTTCACTCCCACAAAATGCAACTCTTGCACCACGCATTCCCTGGGCAAAGCGCAAGGAGAAAAAATACAAATGAAGATACTGGATTTCCCTACAGTGTTCAGAGCAGTCACGGAGACAGAAACAAAGGCAGGTAGCACGTGAGGCACTCAGAGACTGCCAAAGCAGTTTCTTTGAGATTTCTTCCCAGAAATTAAGGGATGGTTTTGAGAAAAGGGAGGACGCTGAAGCCAGGGGGGAGAAGGTGGTCAGACGACAGAAGGAAGAGAGCAAGCAGTGTGTTGGGCGCAGGCGCTCAACATACCATACCCCACCCGGGACTAAGGACCACGCCAGCTTCTGCAATGCACTACGTCCCTCTTTAAATTAGCCAACCCGTGCGCACTTCGTGCTCACTCCGTACTCTGTGGCAACTCCTGATTGGCCACAGCTGGATATAGTAGCCGGAGCCTACATCCCATTCCCGCCCTGCTTCCTTGTGGCAGCCTGTGATTGGTCACGGCCGAATATATAAACCAGAGCCCGCCTAAATAAACGAGCAGTTAACTGTCGTCCACAAAAGCGTCTCCTGTTCATTGGAGCTGCGCCGGTCAGCAGTGCACAGCTCACACCACTGTCCGGGGCAGAGCTGGGAAGCGTAAGATGGGCCTCGGCAGATGAGGAGACTGGTGAGGTGGAAGAATCTGGAGAGTCAGTTTTCAGAGACGGCATCCATGCGCCAGGACAGTGCCAACAGCAAGGAGACAGTGCAGACATGGCAGGGTTAGCTGAAGCACAGGACACGGCCCCTGGACAGTGCAAACAGAGATGCTGGCCCTGAGACGTAAGTCCTCAGCCTTACGTGGAGTCCAGCAGAGTCCCGTCCAGCAGTGACGCGTTGTAGTGGTACTTGAGGAAGTCACCCTTCTTGCTCAGCACCGAGCAGTCGGGGGGCCGGTAGTGCGAGGTGACGCTGATAGAGTCCGAGGGGTTGTGGAAGTCGATCACGTGCACGTCGAACACCAGCACGGCCGAGCCTGGGATGTTCCCTAGGGTCACAGGAGGAATGCGGGTGAGCCTGAGACACTGGGAGCTGGTGCTGTGCAGGGGGAAACTGAGGCACGGGTGTGTCCAGGGTCACACAGCCAGGTTTCAGCACTGCAGGCTCCGAGGGGAGATGGGATGGGTCAGGAGGAGGTAGAGGCAGGTACCACACACAGCCATCCCATCATCTCTGCCTCTGAAAACAGTGTCTCTCGCATTTGGGAGGCTGATGCAGGAGGACTCCTGTGAATGTTAGGCCAAACTGAACTGCACAGTGAAGCATTGTCTCAAAAGGGACCAAAAAAAACAACAAAAAAATGTGTTTTTCACATATATTCTCTCACTGAATCCCTGTAACACCTTTTTCTTTGGTACTAGAATTGCACCCAGAGCCTTCAAACTGAGCTACATCCCCAACCTTCCTTTATTGTTTTTTAGTATGTTTGTTTTGTTTTTGTTTTGAGACAGGGTCTCAGTAAGTCACTCAACTGCCCTGGCTAGGGGCAAACACACAATCCCCCTGCCTTAGCCTCTCCCTGGAGAGACTAAAGATGCTGGGATTCCAGGCCTGTGTCACCACATCCAGGGTCGGAGTTCTTATAATTTTATAGTCCCAATTTACAGATGAGGAACTAAGGCACAGTTTTGGTGCCTGCCCTGGAGGGCAACACTGGAGAAGCAAGCTTGTGCTTCTGCAGGGCCTGAGGGCCCGTCCGCCCTGAAGGACTGTAGTGGAGTGGGAGCCCCGCAGCGTTTCCCAGAGGACCAGGAGCTGCAGACTATGGCAGAGCAGGGGCTGCTCAAGGCCACTGACAGGGAAGGCCAGGGCAAATCCATAGACAAAGACCAGGCCACTGGCTGCCACACTGGGCATGGGGACACGGGAGGGGCTGTTCACGAAACTCTGCAAAGTGAAAGAGAATGTGCTCGGGTGATCACCGAAAGGGGCAGGTTTGTGGGAAGCCAGATGGGGTCAGGTATGCTTCCAGAGTCTGCTGAGTTTTAAGTTCACAATTCAGTGCAGTCGTCACCACCGTCACCCAAAACACCCAACATGCACACACGCTGGTCAGCAGTCAGCCAGCCTCTCCACAGGTCTGGCACCCACAACTTCTGGCTCTCCTCTACAGGTCAAATGACCACAAGAGGGAAATGCTGTGCACCTGAACGCACAACTGAAGACCCTCAAGAAAGAGGACTTCAGAACTGCTTCAGAGAGTAGTCAGAATGACGGGATTAATATGCTCAAAGCGAGGAGGGAATATTTTGAAGAGGATTCATGTCAATGTGTCTTTTCTGTAATACATATTAAAAATGTAAATGTTCACATATTTTTCAATCATACCTAATAAAAGAAAAAAAAAAAATCACGTCATCATCTCAAACTAACCAACCAACAGACAAGCAAACAAGCAAGCAAGAAGTGAAGTTGTGGGCCTACAAAGTGAGGGCTGGAGGTGGAGCCCAAGACAGGCCTCTGCCCAGCACCCGGCTTCGGTTACACCAGTGGGCTCACTGTAGAAAGGGCCGGCACCACCAGCGACTGGCACAGACAGCCCACCACCTCGGCCTGCCCCGACACCAGCCTCCACACCAAGGGAGCCCTTGACCAGGACAGAAGTTGTCACTCCATGTTCAAGCAAGATGTGGCCCTAAGAAGAGACACAGGTGACAAAGAGGGGAGGCAGTGCCACCACTGTTGGAGGCTGTGGGCTTTGTGCAAGAGCCCTGGGACCCCTGGCCACCTCCTCTGTTCCCCACACACAGCTGTCGACAAGTCACTGCACAGGCAGTCAGAGCCTGAGTCCTGTTCTGGGTGGGACCAGCTCCTGTCCTCTGCTGGGCAGCACCTGTGACCTCTGGGCAGGCCACACAGGACCCCCACACTTAAACACCAAGGACACCCAGGCAGATAGGCATCACCAGATATGGGATGCTGCTGTGGGAGCCTTGGGCAGGCACAGGCCCGGGCGCATCCCCAGGAGCTCTCATCCTCATTCCCCTCTCTTCAGTCTTCAAAAGCTGAGCCTGGAGCCAGGCAACAGCAACCTGGGCAGGCCAGGCTTGTGCAACCTGCAGGCAGGACAACCCCGCCTCAGGATGCCCTTCTGCAACACAACAGATGACAGAAGCATCTGGAAACTTCCAGAGGCAGAAAGAGGCAGCTTCCCACTCCCACAAAGGAACCAGCTATGACACACAGAAGTGTGGACCATGCTAAGCACCGTGCAGAGCCCAGTGTCGTTCCTGCCCGGAGCAGGTACTGAGCCCTGCATGTCTCTGGCCCTCTGCACCCAGGCAGGAAGCTGCAGTGAGACACATCTGTGTCCTGGTGCCTGAGAGTGTGGGTCCTGCACAGCCTGCACAGAGGTCACAGGTGCTGCCCAGGGAAGGACAGGAGCCAGTCCCACCCGGACGCCCGGGCCTCAACATCCTGGCACCCGCCCCACCAGCATGGATCCTGTGCTCAGGGAGCTCAGGAGCCTGTGGCTTGCTTGGCAGACCAGTGTCTCATACTTGATGGAAAGCCAAAAGGAAAAGCATTGCAGCAAATGGTTTCATCTGTGCATTCTTTCCAGAGTAAGGAAGGATCCATCCGCGCTCCTGTCATACAGAAATAAGCAGACGTGGGAAGCTGTTGCTCGGCTTCCTAGCACCAAGACAATGAAGGGCAGGAGAGAAACTAGGCCAGCAGGGTGCAACTTAAACTGATCCGTTGTTGCTTAAACCAGAAATTTAAATCAGGACTGAGAAAAGTTTCTCCTCACTATGCCCTCACTGCCTACTGACTTGTTATTTGTTAGCTCCTCCAGGATGAGTCCCACAGAAAACATTCCCAAGATCCGCACAGTACATGAGAAATGGAATACAGCCAGCAAGAATGTACCAGAAAAAGAAGACAAAAGCAAAGTAAATACCACATCACCTATTCCTAAGCGACTCAGCAATAATGGTGTATGAAGCTGGGTGTGGTGGCACAACCTTGTAGCTCCAGAACTGAGGAGGCTGAGGCAGGAGGAGTGCAGGAGAGAGAGGAGAAAGGGAAATAAGTAGAAGAAAGATATGCCAGGTACAGGAACCTAGTCACCTCAATGAATGAACACTGTACGTCATAGACATGAGCTAAGATTAATAATATCCATACGGATGAACGTGGGGAAAGAGGATTTAGAAGAGGGAAGGAGACAGGACGGAAGTGGGTTAGAAAAGGCAACGAGCTGTATTACGTACACATACCCACTCCCAAGACCACTGCAAACTGCAGCAAGTGTGAACAAGAAAAAAAACTGCTAGGATGTAATTCTCCCTAAAGAGTGAATTCCTGGCCAACCCGACTACAGAGCAAAACCCTGTCTTTAAAAGAGCAAAAATGTGACAAGAAAGAAAAGAGCTGAAGTCCTAGGCAGCCACTGTAAACATTCGTAGGCACAGAAAGCTGTTCACAACATCTCCGCCCTTCACAACAAGCTGGGTGGAGAGAAATTATCAAGCTATGTGGACAGTATGTCCCAAGCCAACCCCAAAGTGACATGATCCCGCCTTGCTGGTACTCGCTGGTGTAGGTAAACATGTATTTCGTTTTTAACCCTTATATACACTCAAAGATCCACAAGGATGTTCACTTCATGGTTATATTAGTTTTCTGTTGCTATAAAAAGCTACCTCAACTGTGACAGATTAAAACAATGCAAATCGATTCTCATGGCTCCAGAGTCAGAGGTGTACACTGGAGATCTCCACAGGAATGTGCTCACCTTGATGGTTAGGAGAGGACCCCTTTCCGTGCCTTTTCCAGCCTCTGGACCCCCTGCCTTCCCTGACTGTGGCCTCCTCTGTTCCCCAGCCCTGCCCCTGCCTCCCTCTTACAAGGAGGCCATCTGGATGGGCCAGGATATTATCATCCCTATTTCGAGACCCAGAACTTACTGGCAACTATAAAGTCTCTTTAATAAGATAGCAAGTTCTGGGGATTCAGCCATGAACATCTTTGGAAGCCAGTCTTCTGCCTGTCACATTCACAATGCTTATTCTGAATGGTGAGATTACAGGAGATTTCTATTTGCATTTTCTTTTTCTAAAGCCAAAATGTATTATTTGCCCCACCTTTTTTTCCCCAGTAATGGGCACCCCTGAGTATATCCCTAGCCTTCTTTTTTTCTCTTTTCTGACAGTGTCTCAATAAATTTCCCAGGCTGCCTTGAACTTGTGACTCTCCTTAGTCCTTGGAGTAGTTGGGATTATACGTATGCACCGCTATACTCAGTGTTATGGTTTGTGTCTAGACATCCCCCCAAAGCCTCAGGCGGTCACAGAGCTTTTTCAGAGGTGGCGGATCTAGAGCATGTGATGCTGGGATTAAAGGCGTGTGATCAGTTCACTGATTGGTTTGGCATTGCCCTAATCCCAGCAGCCTACACAGCATATAAAAGGAACAGGAAGACACTGTTCAGGATGGTTGCCGATTTTACTGTTTTCTGCCAGCCAAGAACTGTTCTCCTCTTCGATGCCACACTGCCCTGGAGCCAGTTGATTATAGACTGAAACTTCTACAAACTGTGAGCTAAATAAACCATTCCTCCTTTAACTTTGGGCATCCAGCATTTTGTCTCAACAATGAGAAAATTAACTAAGACACCCAGCTGTTTATACTATAACTTTTCAAAGGAAGTTTCCTCTTACAGTGAATTAATATACTAGAAGTCACTGAATCATATACTTAAAGGGTTAAAGCTCATGGTATTCAAAACAAAAGCTAGAAAGATGGTTTCAAATAGTTCAGTCAAACGAGTAAATAAACATAAACAGAGATGAAATACAGCAAAATGCTAAAAATTGGTGAGATGGAATGAAATTCACTGTACAGTTTTTGAGTCTGAGTAGGTTTAAATTTTTCAAAAGGAGCCAGGTGTGATAGCCATCTCTATAATCCCAGTTACTTAGGAGGCTGAGTCAAGAGAATAACAAGTAAAAACATAATAATAAAATAAAAAATAAATAAATAAAAAGAGGATAAGAAGCTTGAATCCAAACTGGGCAACTTAACAAGACTGTCTCAAATTTAAAGAAAAAGCATGGAGGGCCAGGGATTTAGCTCTATAGTATAAGCACCTGCATGGGGAGCACAAGATCATGAGTTTGATCCCCAGTACCAAAAAAAAAAAAAAAAGAAGAAAGGAAGGAAGAAAGAAAAAAAGAAAATGGAGGAGATTTTAGCTCAATGATCAAGCACTTGCCTAGCACGTGCAAGGTCCTGGGCTCAATCTCCAGTAGGGGAAAAAAATTTTTCTTTTAAAATGAAAATGAAAATGGTTAGGCGGAACAAAGAGAGCTAAGAAAATAATAGAACTCAAGAAACTAAACCCACGTAGGCAATCGCACCTTAGACTGAGCCGTGATCACTCTCCTGTCTCTCTAGAAGCTGCTGTTAGTGGAGACCCAGGGCTACTCACCTCTTCCTTCCTCTCCATACCCCAGGTGTGGGGGCACCACAATCCTCCGCCTCTCTCCGACGCACACACCCAGCAGCCCCTCGTCCATGCCGGGAATCACGTAGCCCTGCCCGATGTACGTGTCAAAGGTGCGGTTCCGAGAATAGCTAGGACAGAAGGTAAAGAAAGGGGTTGTGAGGGCACCACGGCAGCTGGACAGCAGTGGCAACCATGATGTCAAAGGACCGCAAACCCCCGGGATGGGAGCCACCACTTCTGAGGACACACTCTGCCCTAAGCCTCCTGCTTCTTGAGGGGATAATCTCTGTGGGGGAGACATCAAGATTCTTAGTATTGCAGCGCTGGGCCTTAAACGCAGGGCCTCTGCATGCTAGGCACAAGCTCTACCATCGCACAGAGCTTCCAGCTCTAGAGCTGAATGTTCTGATTGCCGAAAAAGTAGCAAATGCAATGTGATCCTGTAGTCCTGGCCCAGTGGGACTTAGGGTCTCTGCTGTAGCATCTGGTCACTGGGCTTCCTGTGGTGAGAACCCAGGAGCCCCTCACCACCCCACTCAGTACAGAGACTGGCTCTGTGCCAGCTGCCGATTGAGTCTGGTTCCTACAAGTCTGGTAAAAGGGGGAAATCCATTCCCCTTACCTATAAAATAAAACCTCATATACTGGCAGGTGTGATGATGCACATCTGTAATCCCAGCACCTGGAAGGCTGAGGCAGGAGGACCACAAGTTCAAGGTCAGCCTGGGGAATTCAACGAGACCTCATCTCAAAATAAAACAAAAAAGCCTGGAGATATAACTCGGTGGTCGAAAGCACTTACCTAGCATGCACAAGGCCCTGCGTTCAAGCACTAGTATGATAAATAACAAAATAAAAATTTTTAAATGGGAACAGGTCACAAATCAGTAATACACAAAAGAAGATATTCAAACACTGGAAAGAGTCTCAGTCTCAATCATTTAAAAACAAATCTCTACATCAGCAAAGATTCTTGAAAACGACAAACAGGGTTACTGAGCCTAGAGGCAATGAGACTGTGATGTAGTGAAACCTTCCCGAGGACAACCTTAAGTTATAACTTAAACTGATAACCTCAATTTATCAAAAGTTGTAAAGACACATGTAACCTTTAACCCAGAGATCCTTCTAGAAATTTATCCCAAGGAAACAATTGTGCACTTTAACACTGAGTTATAAAAATAATTAGTACACCCCTACCCAATTTCAGAAGATAGGAAACATCAAAAATGATGAACTGCAGAGGGCATGCCTAAGCTAAGGCAAATCTACACAGCGCAACAAACAGTACGCAACTGTTCAGATGGGCCAGATCCACTGCACTGAAACCAAAGGCTACTTGGCATGTAAGAAAACAGTGGTCCTATAACGTGGACAGAAATCTGGAGCACCCAGAAAATTTATCTTTTGTTTTATTTTTTTGAAATTAGGGTCTCACTGTGTTAAACTAAACTTAAATAATCCTTCTGCCTCACCATTATAAGTAGTTGGGAATATGGGTATGTAAAATCGTAGCCAGTTTAGAAAGAGTCTTTTAAGTGCGTGTGGTGGTACACACCTGTAATCCCAGCATTCTGGGAAGCTGAGACAAGAGGATCACAAATTCCAACCCAGTCTGGGAAACTTAATGATTTAGTAAATATATATATATATATATATATATATATATTATATATTATATATATTATATATATATTTACACACATATGCAGTGGAATGGAGCTATATCTCAGCCCAAAGGCCTTAGATTAATTCTCAGTACCACCAGATAAAAAAGGGGGGGAGGTAATTAGAAATATAGTTTGTAGGCCAGGGATTTAGCTCAGTGGCATAAGCACCCGCCTGACAAGCACAAGGTCATGAGTTCAATCTCTATCACCAAAAAAAAAAAAAAAAGAATGTAGTTTAAATCCAAGAAATAAGGATTGAAACAAGCTGAAACATAGTAAATAATAACATATATACACATTGAAGGATTTTTTTGTAACAACAAGCGATAAAAACAACTCAACTACTTATTAAATTATCCAGTGGAACACTACACAGATATAAAAAATGATGTGTTATTATGGAAAAATTCCAAGGCAAAAAATATCTAGGAGCAAAATAATATGTACTATGATTATATATATATACGTTATAGAATATGTTTAATATATATTTTATGTGCCATAGAATATAAATTTGTGTTTAAAAAGTCTATACACTAATGAAAAGAAATTAATGAATTTTTTTGTTTTTGTCTTTTTGAGACAGGGTTTCACCTATGCAGTTCAGGCTGGCCTTGAACTCACTTCATAACCCAGTCTGGCCTTGAACTTTCACGATCCACCTGCCTCAGCCTCCTGGGTACTGATTACAGGCATGCACCACCATGCCTGGCTAAAAGAAACTAGTGAAATTAACAAAATGGTTAACTCAGTGGAGCAGGGTAGGAAGTTCAGAAGTGGACAAAGCTGGGCACATGGCGTTGTACCTTACTGTGTTTTGACTTTTGAACCATGTGACCATTTTCCCAACAAATTAAATGAAAAATGTAAAAGATCATGGGACTAAGAATAATGGATTACTGAAATAAAACACTGTAATACCACAGAGAAACTTATTCTATGAGGCTTTGGGATGACTAAGTCGATCAGAAGTCTGACGCCTAGAGAAACAGGCAGGTGCTTGTTTACAGGAAGCCAAAGGAGAGGTTTCAAGACACACAGTCCACAGCTGCCACACATGCCTAACACCTAGGCCAGCTGTACGAACAAGAGGCCTGAGGAACAATACTCTCAGAGAGGAGGCTCTGCAGCCCGGTCATACTGGTCTCCTTACCACAGTCACCCTGACACACCTGCAGCAGGGAACTGACACAAGTGTGGGGAGCCAAGAAAGGCCAGGGCCACCTGCTGCTGGCCACAGCTGGTGCACCCAGACAGCAGGCCGTGCCTCTGGTCCTTCCTGCTGGCCACTCCTGTCAGAGTGACTGAGGATGGCGGGTGCTGGAGTCTGAGGTGAGTGTCCCCCTTTACCGCTGACTCCTCTGCACCAGCCGCCGGGGGACACTGTCCAACTGACCTCAGAATCAGAAGGGTCTGGTCCCGGAGATGAGCGCTGGGCCGGTGTGCACAGCACACCCTGCCCGGCTCACTGGCGCAGACCTGACTCGGAGCTGCAGGAGGCGAGGCCACTCACCTGGAGTCGAAGAGGCTGCCGTCCAGCAATGTGCCATTGTAGTGGTACCGGAGGAAGTCCCCACTCTGGCTCCTGCGCTCACAACTCTCCGGCACCACTTGGTTCTCAATAGAAATGCTGTCCTTGGGGTTATGGAGGTCCAGCAGCACCACATCGAACACCAGGGATGCCTGCCCAGGAATGTCTTTCCCTGGGGTGGGGTGGAGGAAGCAGTCTCCATCAGGACACAAGACTGAGGAAGGGCTGAACCCCCACAACTACACCCTGTGTGGCCATTCCCATCCCTCACAGTTCTCAGACCACGGACCCAAAGGCTCTTGGGCAGCTCCATCTTAACCACGGCATCTCTCCATGGTCTCCACCCATGGGTTCATGGGCACTGAGTGAAGCCTGACACACACAGGCAAAGCAGCTACCGGGTGATCAGGGCAGCTCCAGCATCAGAACCACAGGCAGCTCTAATACACTCCTCCGGGGACTGGTTTGTGCAAACATCTAAAGGCGCCAATTCCAAAGCTCTGCTCTTGCGCTGCACACATTTGGCAGGCAGGTGTGGCAGAGCACACTTTATGATCCCAGTAACGAGGAAGGCTGAGGCAGGAAAACCACAAGTTTCAGCTTATCATGGGGAACTTAGCAACTTAGTGAGACCCTGCCTCAAAAATACATACATATTTTCAAAAGGTTGAGGATGTAGCTCAATATAAAGGCCCTAGTTTCAATCCTGGATACCCGAAAAAAGGAAAAAGAAAAACAGAGACTAAGAAACCTACCATCAAATTCCTAAAGAGCAAAAATACAAAATTGAATTCAATCCTGTAAGTGTAGCCACAATAGGACAGAAATAAAATGAAAATTAACTAAGACAAAAGGAAAAATGGCAGCCACAGTCCAAAATATGAACCATGTTCAAACCACTTCTTTCCCTCTTCTGCATCTACTGCTTCTCTTACGTGTGCCTAGGGTGAGGACGTATTGAGCACAATCCGCCTTCCATATCAACAGTTCCGCATCCATGGAGTCAACCAACTGCTGACAGAAAATAGCCAAAAAAAAAAAATTATGTCTGAGCTGGGCACGGTGGTACATGCTTAAAATCCCAGCACTGAGGGAGGCTGAGGCATAAGAATTACAAGTTCAAGTCCCACCTGGGCAATTTAGGAAGATCCTGTCTCAAAAAATAAAGTGGGGGGTGGGGGGAGGGTTGATGTAGGTCAGTGTTAGAGCACTCTTGGCTTTGATTCCCGGGACAGTAAACATATATAGACTTTTTCTCCTGCTATTATTCCCTAAAACAGTACAGTACAGGAACCATTTATATAGCATGTACATTTTACAGGGTTCTCTAAGCCATATCACATCCACAGAGGAGGTGTACAGTTGTACTCAAGCACCATTCCCGGTTCATATAAGGGGCCTGAGCAGCCAAGGATTCTGGTACCCACAGAACCAATCCCTCCAAAGCAGTAGGACATAGCTGGACCTGCATTAACCCTAAGGAATACATTTATAACGTTAGACCGTCAGAGGCTAATGTCGAAAGTAAAATACATCAGAGGTGAAATCTGGCAATCCTGGCATCTCACATCTGTATTTTTCTCTCGGCATCTGAACTGCCCAATGATGGCAAAAGTTTAGAGCTTTCAGTGATAACAAACAGCCGGCTGTGGCACAGGTGCCTTAGATTCGCCTCTTCGGCCTTAGACTGTCCAAAGTTCACAGGGATGGAGAGAAAGGCTGGAACCCAAAGACACAGTGCAAGGCAGGGGCAGACACTTCCTCCCAAGCGCCAGGACCTTCCTGCAAAGGGATTAATCCCCCTAACACCCAGGAACTAGCTCCTCCCGAAGGACCAGTGTCCACCAAGAAATAACTGCATTGGTAACGCGGCCTAACAGGGAGCTGAGCGATAAGCAGACTCCTCAGTGTGCTCCTTGCAGTTTGTCATTTTGTGCAAAGGAATCACTGGGCAAGTGACCTGGTAGCCACAGCACCTTGGTGCTCCCCAGCTGGGTAGGGCCCCGCCTGTACCTCTTCCCCTCCCAAGGTGCGGAATCTACTCAAGCAGGCAGTCACGTCAGCCTCAAAATGCATCCAGCCCTGAGGCACGTGCGACACACACGGGGTAAGTCCTGTATTTTATATTTTAACTACAGACAAGGAAAAAGTCATTTTCCCCACTTTTGTGAGTGATCCTGAAACCTGAGTATTTGGAGGCAAGTGAGCCACCATTGAAAAGAAAGTCCTCCCCAGCCTAAAGAAAGTCTTCAAAGTAACCCCAGCTTGGAAATTTTCTGGCATTAACGTGTAAGTAACTGCACAATACTCAGCTTTACTGAGATACTGCACACAACTCACCTGCTGTGGGGCTGGCAGTGTGGCTCATTGGTGAAGCACTTGCTTAGCGCGCACCTGGCCTGGGTTCAAACCCAGCACCACACACACACAAAGCAATACTAAATTCTTTCTCAGGGAGAAAGAAAGTGAGACACTTATGTTGGTAGTTTTTGAACTTCATTTGCTCTACCCACCCACCTTCCTTTAAGGAACTGTGTGTGGACCTTGAGCGTGTAAGACATGAAAAAGTGGAGGTGAACCGGGAGACACTGACCCATCTAATCCATCTAATCCTTCTCTCCTGCTCTGTGGACTTGAGGAGCAGGAGACAGCTTATAAAACACTCAGTTTGTCTTACTCTCCTCCTTCCTCTCCCCCTGCCCTCCCCTTACCCATTCCCTTCCTCCTCTTTCTTTCTTTTCCCCTTAGTACAGGTGATTGAACCCAGGACCTTCACACTGAGCTACACTCCACTCCAAGCGCTTTTTCATTTTTGAGACAGGGTCTCACTAAGTTGCTCAGGCTGGGCTCAAACTTGTGAACTCCTGCCTCCGCCTCCCAGAGGGCTGGGATAACAGATGTGCACCACCATGTTGGGCTGCCTGGTGGCTTTCACATGGTCACAACTGAGTTAATCACCGCAAACACACACACGGCGGGTGGGGGGATGAGAGAGGCTCCCAGAAGGGGCAGGACTTACCGTCGCCAGCCTCGCCATAGGCCAGGAAAGGCGGTATGGTGATGATGCGCTTCTCTCCCACACACATCCCCAGCAGCCCATTATCCATGCCAGGGATCAGCCAGCCGATTCCCACGTACGTGTCATAGGTTTTCATGCGATTGTGACTGAGAACCAATGATAAAGGAAGAAGCTGACACCATGTGTTTGCCACCCATCCCTCAGGAAGGACTTTGTCACCCAAGTCTTTGCTAAACACCGAGTCCACACCCAGCCCTACTGACAGGCAGGTCTGGATCTGTGCTCCCCACACAGAGAATTCCTCAAGGCTAAGAAGAAACAAAAGGCTCCTATTCATACCACAGAGACTGATGTTAAAGGGCCAGCTATTCCACTAACCACACAGGCAGCACTGCCAGGAATCCTCCAGTGTATCCCAAGCCTCCCCACAGCTTCATTCTCCCCTTCTCCCTCCAAGGGAAAACTGTAAATGAAGCAACACATACTGGTGCCTTCACATAATGATGAGGTCTCAAACTACTGTTAAATAAGACAAGCACTGCTTTCAGACTTCCAAAGTGCATTAAATGTCAACTCTGGGACAGTAACCCCAAAGTCTTCCATTGGGAGCCACTGAGCTATTGACCATTCACATGTGTGGAGCCCTACGGGAGTGCCCCAAGGACCTAGAGCACCTGAGAAACACCCTGAGGGCATAGAGTGCTAGAGGGGACCAGGTATTCCATCCCAGGGTGAGAGGCTAGCTGGTTAAGCAAAGGGCTGTGTGTATAAATAAATGCATTGTGGTGATTGAGCAGTCTTTTCCTTCCATCTGGAGGAAGGGCTCCACCTGACCCCAGCTTTCTGTCTCTATTTTTTTTGTACCTGGGATCTAACTCAGGACCTCAGACTTGCCAGGGAGGTGCTGTGCCACTGAGCTCTATCCTCAGCCGTTGTCTCTATCTATTTTTTCATTCTCTAGTCATTCTTCCCTCTGGGAAATCAAGAGAGCTCTCAAGGACACCACAGTTTTCTGCAGCATTTGATACTGGTGGAAGGTGGGAAGCATCCTTTTCTGGTTTTTACAGGAAAAAAAGCAGGCATGACAAAAGGTGCCTCTGTGGACACAGCCACCAGCAGGACCCACCTGGAATCGAAGAGTGTGCCATCCAGGAAGGTGCCGTTGTAGTGGTACCTCACGAAGTCGGACACCTGGATGGTCCGAGGGCAACTGGGGGGCTTAAAATAAGTATGAATCTGCACCTGGTCCTCAGGGTTCCAAATATCCACGAGAAGCACATCGAAATGGAGCACAGAGTTCGGGGGGATCACGCCAGCTAGAAATTAAAAACAACTCACACTGAGAAACTGCTGCCTTTCGGGCCAGATAATTAAATACCCAAGATACTGTCAATGCAAATGGAAGCCAAGAGTTTCAGTGGACATGCAACTCTAAAATGACCCATCCCTCCTGTCTTTAGTGACAATAAAAGAAAAGAACAAGACTCTTCTTTCCTTAAGGCTCTCATTGACCACGTGTGTTAATGATGCCTTCTCACGTCTAGAAAAAGAACCTGAAAGTAGCGATCTTGACTGTGCTCACTGCTTTGTTTCTCCCAATTGAAAGCTTTGGTGGTGCAGTCTGCTTCTCTGCAGATGTGCCCGCCTATTCACAATGGAAACTCACCAACTCCTTCACTTCCGTAGGCAAGTTTTGGGGGGATCGTCACGAAGCGTCTCTCATTGACGCACATCCCGACCAAGGCCTGGTCCATCCCGGCAATCAGCTGTCCTTTTCCCACAAACACATTGAACGTGGAGTCTCTGTCATAGCTGAAGATGTAGGAGAGAAAGAGAAGTAAATAGTCCTGCCCTCGTTGAAAGCAAGTTGTGAAAATACACTCATGCGGGGCACAGCAGAGCTGGTCGTCGCCAAGGAACGCCCAGTACAGCTCAGCTCTCGCCTGGACGGTAACAGCAGATGAGATTTTCAGATAACCTTGAACACTGCTAGCAAATCCAGTTCCACAAGCACTGGCTCTGCTCTCTCTACAAAAATAAAAAAAGTAAAATGATGTAAAGTTTGTTTTTGTAAAACAGCCATGGATTCTTCTATTTTCTATGTGATTGGTACCTAAAAGCAACATCAGAGATATAAATGGCCTAAATTCAAAACAGAGAGAGAGAGAGAAAGAGAGAGAGAGAGAGAGAGAGAGAGAGATATCCTCCAGGCAGTATGGTAAAACAGAAAGCACTCACACACACAAAAACAAACAAATAAAAAATAAAAATAAACAGAAAGCACACTGAAATTCTCTTAACCTCAGCTTCCTCCACTGAAAAGCCAGATTAACAGCTATCTCCAGCATTTCAGGTTCTATACAAGGTGAAGAGTACTCTGGAAACCTTAGGCTTATGCCAATATTTTTATATTGATCATAAATAATAGCCTGAGAAAAAACTTGCTATCATTCATATATACTTTGAAGGCTGACAGCTGATCCCTTAACCAGAAAATAATGTCAGGCTGTGCCTTATGCCCTCATCTTGTTCAGTGTCAAACTCAGCAAGTAGCCAGGCCTGGTAGAACATCTACAATCCCAGCACTCAGGAGGCTGAGGCATGTGCATTCCAAATTGAAGGCCAGCCTATACAATGCAGGGAGACGCTGTCTCAAAACAAAAACAAACAGACACCTGAACAGAAATTTAGGAATCAACCAAGTTTTGCCTGTTAGGAGACTGTGGCACTGAACTATATAGTAAGACCCTGTAACCAAAAATAAATACATTAAATAAATAAATAAAAATAGGCTGGGGATGCAGGTTAGTACTCCCTGGCTTCAATCTCAGTGCTTACAAAAAACAAACAAACAAACAAAAAGTCCAAGGGTATCACTCTGACTGCACAAAGACAAAGACATAGAAATACTCTATGTCACTTCATAACAGATTTCCCCTTGCTGATCCAGAAGGACACGCACACAGTAGGGGTAAGTGTAGGTTATGAGCCACAGATAAAATCTCATTTTCAATTTCTATATACAGACATGTGCAAAGCTCTACAAGGTAGTTGTGAACACATCATCAGTACAATCTGTGGGTAGAGCTCAGGTAACTGGATTTGTTTCTTTTAAATTCTCTCTCACTCTTGAGAGTGATCCTGTAATTACTCGGGTACTAAAACAAAGGTGCTGCTGGGACTCCCTCCTTTAGGACAAGTCACCCTCATGCTCTAAATTTCCTGCACCTTTTCTTGAGTGAGCAGCGCAGTCCTCTCTGGCCCCCTGAGGTCCTTGGATCCAGCCCTCTGGCACCATTTCTGGTTTTCCTTCCCATTTTAACTGCCTTTCTTCCCACAAGGCCATGCAGAAAGCAGGATGCCAAGTCCAAGCCAAGCCAGCAGACAAGAGCACACAGTTAGCTCTAGGCCCCAATCAGCTTTCACCTCTAGAGAGGCCCCTCCCTGGACAACAGCTCACAACTACATGCGGCTTGACCACACGGCACCACATAGCCTCCATCAGTCCCCTGGAGTTAAAATGAGGGGCAGAAAGCTGGGCTGCAAAGGCTTGTGAGTGCAGGACACACGCAGACAGCAACTGTGCCTGTACAGGAAGCTGCATCATCATCATCATCATCATCCTGGGGACTAACTCAGGGGCTTATCATTGAGCTACAGGCCTAGGTCATTTTTTTTTTTTTTTATTTTTGTTTTGAGACAAGGTTCTGCTAAGTCACTAAGTTGCCCAGGCTGGGCTTCAACTTTTGGTCCTCCTGCCTCAGCCTCCCAAAGAGCTGAGCCTACTGCCAGGCCCAGCTAGAAAGTTATTTTAAAAATATACTCTTCGGGGCTGGGGATTTAGCTCAGCGGCATAAGTGCCTGCCTTGCAAGCAGGCAGTCATGAGTTCGATCCCTGGTACCAATAAAAACGAAAAAGACCAAAAAAAATATATATATATACTCTTCAGAGCTTCTGGTGTACCGAGACTATATATATACATACATACATACATATATATATATTTCAATATATATATTTCAAATATACATACATATATATATATATTTCAATATATATACATATATATACACATACACTCTTAAGGATGCATAGGATTTTATATATATAGTTTCATTTGTAAACTGAAATAATTATTTCACTCTTATCCAGATTCCTGAATTTCATTTCCTTGCCTAATTTCTCTGGCTAGGAGTTTCAGGGCTGCCCTGAATAGACGTGGCAAAGGTGGGGTCAATGACCAATTACTGATCAGAATCTGATGACAGTTCTCAAATTTAATACAAGTTTTTATTGGTAACTACCATTTACAGAATGTTTATTAGGTGTGATGTCTGGCAGCAAGGTAAGCTCTTCACATACACCATCTTGCTTAATCTTCAAACAACGCTGCAAGGTGGATGAGGGTTAAAATTTTCCCCAAGCTCACAGCCAAGTGGGAAAAACTAAACCAAAGATTGTCAAACGCTTAGGCTCCTGGCGCAACGTCTCCCAAATGATGTGTAAAAATCATTGCTGTCTCATAGCATCAATTTCTCATTTGATGATTACCTAAGTATTTGAACAGTACAGCAGAGCAGTGTAAGAACAACTTCTTTCTGTAAGAAAATGCATGCATCTATATACTCAAGTATCTAGCCCTATCTATCGCTTAGGATCCCTACCATGTGGAAAAATAAAGTTGTTCATAGGAAATTTATCCTGATCAGGGCAACTGGCACTGATTCCCAGGCGGCATCAAGCCCAGAGTTGGTTATGAAAACTCTATCTGCAAAGCCTGGATAAGCACTTACACAGCCTGTCCCCACATCATCTACAGCCATCCAGCCCAGGTCCTAGGCAAAACAAAGGACAAAGCCAACCTCAACAGTTCCAGGAAAATTAATAAAGGGGCCGCTCGCAGCCCCTCACAGTTAGTCATGAAACCCAGGGGACTTCCTCCTGTGTTCGGCAATAGGACACTGACGCCACCTTTGCCACCTCTGTTCAGGGCAGCCCTAGAACTCCTAGCCAGGGAAATTAGGCAAGAAAATGAAATTCAAGGAATCTCCATAGGAAAGATAAGCACCTCTGTTCACAGATGAAATCAGATGTACAAAATCCCAATGCATCCTTTAAAAAGCTGTGAGAATTCATGAATGAATTTGGCAAAGTTGCAGGACACAAAACCAACACACAGATGAGTTGCATTTCTGTGCCAACACTGAATAATTTGAAAAGGAAACTGAAAAAACAATCCTATTTAACATCAATCGGTTGACTCAAGAATAAGCTTACACAAGTAGCCAAAAGACTTACGCCCTAAAGGAAGATTGCTGAAAGGCAATGAGGTGTGGCGAGATGTGCGAAGGGCACAGTGCAGTGCCGCTAGGGCTGGGCAGGGGGCGCTGTTACCCACTCGGGACAGGAACCCAGGGACAGTGGAGGACTGGGCCTACCTGCAGGAGCTGGGGCTTTGGTTTTGAGATAGGATATCAGCTGTAGTGACCTGCAGGCAGGGAGCAAGGAGACCAAATACCTCGACCTCACCCTGCCCCTCCCATCTGGTGACACCCGTGGCTTCACCCCACCACATCAGCAACAAGGGGCCCTTGATGTAACCCAGAGTGTGGTCCTCACTGGTAGGTCCTGCACAGCAGGCAAGAAGGGGGAACAGAATGACCAGTACTATCCAGTACTTTCTGCATCGCTTCCTGTGTACCAGCTCACTCAATGCTACAGACCCTTCTCACACAGTCGGGGGCAGGGTGGGGAGGTGTCCAGAGCATTCTCCATTGATGCTCTACAAAACGGGCCACCTGAGAGCCATAGTGGCGCACACCTGTAATCTTGGCACTTTGGGAGGCTGAGAAAGGAGGACCATAACTTTTAACCCAGACTAGGCAACTTAGTGAGATTCCATCTCAAAATAAAAAATAAAAAAACAAGTTGTGTATGGGTCAGTGCAAAGGTCCTAGGACCCTCCCCCAACACCACACACACACACACACACACACACACACACACACGCCCCAAATATCCAGTGAAGAACAAAGACAGGAGACACTGCATAAAACTTTCCATATCCAATTCATTAAGCTGTCAGCTTCCTCCAGAGAAGCATGCATCATGCCACATGTTACAGACGATAAACAGCCAAGTGGCTCTTTCCAAAGCATAAACTATGAGGCTCTACTTCTCAAAGTACACTGCCTCTGCAGCAAGAAAGAACTTTTAGAGGATCAAATGGCATGAGTCAGGAATAGTGGTACATACTTCCAAAGCTGTTATACAGATTCCATGCAATCCCAATCAAAATCCCAATATCATACCTCACAGAATGAGAGAAAACAATCCTAAAAGTCATCTGAAACCAGAAGAGATCTATAACAGCAAAGGCAATCCTGGACAAGGACAAGACGGGCGTATTACAATCCCTGACTAGAAATTGTATTATAAAGCTACTGTGATAAAAACAATGTAGTACTGAGGAAACAACCAAAAAAAAAAAAAAAAAAAAAAACTAGACCTGAAGATCAACAGATTAGAAAATGCAGAAACAACTCCAGATACACTAAGCCAGATGTGTCTGGCATCTTTGACAAAGGTGCCAAACACATTCACTAGAAGAAAAATAGCCTCTTTAATAAATCGTGTTGGAAAAACTGGCTCTACACATGCTGAAGATCTTTCACAATGTACTAAGCTAAATTCAGAATGGATCAAAGATCTTAATATTAAAACAGAAACATTAAATCTGCTGGAAGACAGAGTAGGTAAAACTCTCAAGGAGACTGATGTAGAAAAGACTTTAGGAACAAAACCAGATTGC